GAGGGCGTAAGGGTTCGTGACGCTGCAGTAGATCAAGAAGATTACTTACGAACACTATTTGAGAGTTACTACAACGAAGATAGTGTGAATGAAAGATTCACGACTACTGACAGGCAGGAGGCAATTGAGCTGACGGACTGGGCACTGGATGGAAGAACATACCTGGTACAGAGAGCGGCCCTCGAAATGTCTGACTTCAGTGTTGAGGATATACTCCAAGGGAATGATTGTGCACCAAGCGGAGCCTTTCCGTCGCTGGGGGAACTCGATGAGGATTACCCTGCGATTGAATGGCTCAAAATCAGGTTTGCATTTGCGGTAGACAACTCACCATGGGCGAATACAACACCAGACGAACGTGTGGTAGTAACGCCGGCAGCTGGGGGATATCGGATCAGCATTTTGGACACGGAGATAGAGTTTGAGCTCACTCACCAGCAAATTCGAGAACGTGAATTTGACCCAGTTAACATCTTGGAGCGGACATGGATCACGCATATGCCGGACGAAGACCAGGAGCGCTATCTGGCCATGATCTTCGAAGACCACTATGGCACGGACAAAGAAGAGGAGCGCTTCATCACGATCAATTATGGCGACTCAATCGAGATCAGCGACACCAACTCACCGACTGACGCATATCTGGTACCACGCGAGAGGCTCCGCGATCCCGACTTCGGTATTAAGGACATCCTGAAGCTCAGGGCGATGGATTCGGATCGACAGTACTGGGGAGGATTCCCGCGCAACACTGAATTGGACGGTGAGCACGCAGCGGTAAGCTGGCTGGAACAGCAACTCACAGTGGCAATAGTAGATACGATGTGGGCCATACTGACCCCCGAGCTGGTCGACACTAGAGACCCTGTAGTTGTGGGACCCAGCACAAACGGATACTGGGTCAACATCACGATTCCCAACGTGCGGTTTGAGCTGACACATGCAGAGATTGAGGCACGAGACTTTGATGCATGGGAGTACCTGCAGTTGGCATGGGAGGCTTGGGAGGTGGAACTCGAGTTTCCGGGCGAAGAAGTGACAATCGAAGCGTTTGCAGCGCAACCAGAGTCGAGCAAGAAACCGCCGCGGCGAAAATCTGCAAAGGGTAAACAACAGGACGAATCTGAGGAACTCGAACGCACTGCGATGCTGCCGAAGGACTTCAAACGACGGCTACCGAAACCCATCATCATTGAGGTCAAGGTAAATGGGCGGCCGGCACGAGCACTTTTGGACACCGGCTCGATGGCAGACTTCATCTCTACAAGACTGGTGGATCAGCTTCAGTTGAGGAAGGATAATCTAGCCAAACCAGTAACAGTGCAGCTCGCTGTTCATGGGTCTCGGTCGAAGATCAATTCGTCAACTACTGTAGGACTTCAGTACCAAGGCATAGACTGCGAACGACGACTGGATGTGGCTAACCTGGATAGCTACGATCTCATTCTGGGCACTCCGTTCATCTTCCAACATAAAGTAGTGCTGGGACTGAATCCGACACGGGTAGTCGTGGGTTCTGATAAGCCGCTCGAAATGCGCGGACCTGAGATCTCAGCAATAACATCAGCGGCGGCGGATATATTTGAGCGAGATCTTACCAAGCTGCGGGCGATGCTGAAGCGAGAAGCAGCAGATCTATGCCCAGACGTGGCCGAAACAGCATTGCCACCATTTCGCGCGGTCAATCACACGATCCCACTCAAGGACGAGTCCAAAGTGTATCGTTGGCGGCCTTCGAAATGCCCAGAGGCGTTAAAGGAGGTGTGGCGCGAGAAGAAAAACACCTACATGAAGTCGGGCAGATGGCGAATGGCATCGGGACATAACGCGTCACCAATGTTGATCTTGCCAAAGCCTATGAAGGAGGATGGGGTGGTCAGGATACGGACAGTAATTGATAAACGAGAACAGAATGACAATACCGTGAAGATTGCAGCACCGCTCCCCGATATCCACGCGATCCTCCGAAACGTTGCCCGCCACCCATATCGAACACTGGTTGACGGCAAGGACTTCTATGAGCAAATCCGCGTAGTGCCAGAGCACGTATCGCGTACCTTGTTTAATACACCAGATGGGACAATGGAGAGCCTGGTTTTGCAGCAAGGCGATACAAATGGGCCAGCGACGTGTCAGGCTTTGATGAACCATATATTCGCGCCATACTTGGGAGTATTTATGGATGTGTACTTGGACGACATCATAATATATTCCGATACTGTCGAGGAACACATCCGACATGTGAGAATCATTTTCGACATATTGCGGAAGGAAAAACTATACCTGAGTGCCGATAAGATGCAGTTCTTTGCAGAAGAACTGAAGATATTGGGCCATATCATCGACGAGAAAGGTATTCTGATGGACCCACACAAGGTCGAGTCAGTGACGAACTGGAAGACGCCAACGAACAAGGACTTACTCGCGAGTTTCTTGGGTGCAGTCGGATACCTTGCAGATGATTGCCATGGCATTCGGATCCCAATGGGAGTATTGACGCCGCTGACTGGTGCCAAATCAACCTGGAAATGGAGTCATACGGAGCAACGGGCATTCGAACAGGTGAAAGATACCGTGAACAAGTGGCGGAACCACCATCGTGTATCGCTGGACTACTCGGACAACGCGCCGACCATCAATTTGGTGACGGACGCGAGCTGCACTGGTGCGAGCGGGTATGTAAGTCAAGGTGAAGACTTGAAGACTGCGAAAATAGTCGCATTTTGGTCTGGTAAATTTAATTCAGCACAGCAAAACTACCCGGTGCATGAAATGGAATTACTCGCCATAGTCGAATCTCTCAAGCGCTTCCGCGGCATTCTTCATGGTGCGAAGTTCCGCATTTCAACAGACCACAGGGCGCTCGAGCACTTGATGAGCCAGAAGAATTTATCCCCGCGACAACACCGATGGCTCGATATCCTGAATGAGTTTGATTTCACCATCAAATACATTCCAGGCGAAACCAATGTGCTGGCAGACGCGTTCTCGCGTATTTACAGCGATGAACCCCTCGGAACGATTCGCGCTGCAAGCGAATATGTTAGCATGGACGACGTGGATGGAGAAGATAGGCGGAGCGCACCGGTAGAGGACAGCGACGCTGAACTCACAACCCCAGTCTATACAGGCGCGGCGGCGGTTCTGGAGGGCGCGTTACGCCGGTCGTCGAGGCTTGCGGAAGCAAAGGCGGACGCGAGGACCTACGGGGGCCCAAAAAGGCGCCAGCCGAGGGTGGACAAGAAAGAGATAGTCGAGGAGACGGCAACTGACAAGGACGTGTCACAGAGGACAGCCACTCCGGATAAGGAAACGCCGAGCCGCAGCTCGGCGCCGGACGCCGGGCAAGAGGCAACTCTTGCTCCTGAATCTCATGCTCTCCGCAATGGCACGCGAACAACTAATACCACCCAGCCAGATCTGAGTGGCGTGGCCACTGCGGGCGACTTGGGCATCCCACTTCCGGACGGCCTCAAGTACCGTTACCAGGAGGACGAGTTCTTCCGCCACATTCTGAAAGCTCCACCAGCAGAGTACAAGGACTTCCAGGAGCGGGATGGGCTAGTGTTCAAGGCACGCGATGGGGTGGAAGTATTATGCATTCCGGACATCAAATTGGACGGGCGTAGCGTGCGTGAAATCGTCATAAAGCATGCTCATTCTCTCTTAGCGCACTTGGGATCGCGAAAAACGTTGGATTTCCTGCGAGAAGAAGTATGGTGGAAGACTATGGTCACGGATGTGGACGCATATTGTAAGTCCTGCTCAACTTGCGCGACAAGCAAGCCGAATAACCAAAAACCAATGGGACTTTTGCAGACCCTCCCCGTACCGACACGACCGTGGCAGCACATCGGTATTGACTTTGTGGGACCATTGCCCGAGTCTACGACACGACACGGTGGATTCGACATGATCTGTGTGATCATCGACCATCTAACGGCAATGGTACCTTTAGTGCCTACAAGAAACAACTACGGGGCCAAGGTAATGGCGGAAGTTGTATTCGATAGTGTCTATAAATTACATGGACTACCGGACAGGATTGTGAGCGACCGCGATAAGTTATTCACCAGTGAATTCTGGCGGCGATTAAATCAGCTGCTGGGCATCGAATTAAAGATGTCGACTGCTTACCATCCGGAGACTGACGGTATGACCGAGCGTGCTAATCGCACGATGACACAGATGTTGCGGCAGTGCGTTCAGCCAGACCAAAAGGACTGGGCAACAAGACTGCCAGCAATTGAGTTTGCGATGAATATGGCGCGTTCGGAAACAACAGGATTCTCACCATTCTTCTTGAATTATGCACGGACACCTAGAACAATGATCTGGGAAAATGACACTGAATATCCTGGAGTTAGAAAATTTGCGACTAAGATGAAAGAGGCCCTGATGAAGGCACACGATGCTATCATCGAGGCACGAATACATCAGACAGACAATGCTAATCGGCACCGTCGCAAGGCAGACTTCGCGGTTGGAGACCTTGTATATTTGTCGACCAAGAACATACGCTTGCCGAAAAAGCGAGCGCGGAAGCTAGTGCCCAAGTATAGTGATCGTCACGGGTGGCGTCACCCGTGACGGGCCGTGAGGACGGGCCAGCGCGGGTGCGGGTACGGGTCTGGGGCCTTGAACCCGCTAGCCCGCAGCTTGGCCCGCCGGGCCCGGCTTACCAGCTTGCCGGTCGTCGGCTGTCACGGCCGGAGCGCTTGGTGACGTTAAACGGCGATCTGGCCAAGGTCCAGACCCTGTCGTTCAGGGATAACGCAACATTGGCGGTGCCTCCGCCCAGATCCGCCCCGGATTGGATCACGCGGGCCTCGGGCAGGCGGGCTACCCGCGACCCGCCCGCTAAAACGCGGGTACCCGCACCCGTAGCCACGGGCCCGGGCCATCGGCGGGTACGGGTACGGGCCACCCCGGATTTACCCGCGGGTGGCCCGTGACGAACACTACCCAAGTATTTGGGGCCTTTCAGGATCATTCAAGTAATGAGTCCTGGCGCGTCGTTTAAACTAGAACTCTCACCTGAATTGAGGATTCGAGGAATCCACGACGTGTTTCACGCGTCGTTGTTGCGCGCGCATATCCCTAACGACGATAGACGGTTCCCGGGCCGCCAGATGCACCAGATTCCTGGTTTTGGCGTCAACCCCAAGGAATGGGCTGTGGATCGTATCCTTTCCCATGTCGGGAAAGGAAAAGACGCGTCGTTTGAGATTCGATGGGCCACAGGGGATGTAACCTGGGCGCCATTTGCTGAAGTGAAACACCTGTCAGCAATGGACCATTACTGTGAGGCTATGGGGATAACTCACCCACGCAACTTGCCGAATAAAGAAACAAGGGATGGGCCAGAAGTGGCCACGGTCCATGCAAAAGCAAGTCGCATTGTCGATGAAGCCGCGGAAGAGCTGAGGATAAAAGGGATGAGGGAAGGGCAGTTCAGACAAACTGAACATACTTTGCACCCCCCAACGACTCCTCGCTCCAAACGTGTCTTACTCCGCGCTGCTCTTTCATCGCCAATGAACTCCCAACCCACGGCCAACAACGAAACTCGCCTTCCCTACACCCAACCCCAACAACCTGACGGTCGCTGATGTTGTCGAGTGCGAGAAGTATCTCGCGCGGGTAATTCGTTGGGCCAATGGCGAGGGCGTCTTTCCTGGGTATGGGCCACCTGCGTATGCACTCTACAAGGTCAAATACAAGCACGCACCTTCGGTGGAGCAGTACCCAAGGCTCCTTGCTCGTGACACAGCACGCCGAGATGGACAGCAAACATCTTGTGTCGCGGGTCCCATGCTCTCCCTCTCCGAAAACGCCTACACTGAAATGGTTAGACAGTCGACTCAGACGACCGAGAACATGGTCACCAAAATCATCGACTTCGCGACAATGACCATGCAGCCTCGCATCGGGAACCCATTCACGACATCATCTCCATATCGTGTCCCCCGCCATATCAACTCTGACCGCGGACGGTCATTTGCACAAGGCGGAATGAGGGCGGCGCCATTCAGTGGGCGAGGAGGTCGAGGAGGGGCGGCACAAGGCCACGGATGGAAAGCGGGAATGGGTGATCGAGGAGGTATTCGACCTCTGGCTGGTATGTGCCCATTCGATTGGCAACCACATGGCTTAGTAACGTGCCCGACAGAGCGGATCCATGGAAGAGTTCCAGCGCGGGGGAAGCGCTCGGGGGAACCGCGCAAGCGCAAGACCAGGGCGCGACGCGGCAAGAAGCCAACCCGTGACGAGGTGACGATGGATGTCGAGATGGCGGACAACCAAGCATTGGACGCGGCAAGCACTTCGGCGACAGAGGGCACGGAGGACGCATACGAGCGAGGCTCGACTCCGTTTGGTGATGAACTGGACCCTGAAGAACAGCAACGCGAATACGACGCCTTCTTAGCAGACACCCACGGTGGACCGGGTGGAGAGGGCGACGGCGAGTGGGAAAATGCTTCGCCCGGGGCTTGAATCGGGCTTGGCGAAGGCTTACTGCTGAAGACGGTAAGCCTGGAGGGCGAATGTAACGGATATAAGGCTCCGATGTCAAGCCCGGGCCGGCCCGGCCGGCCCGAACCTTATTACTTACATTCATCGCTCGCAACCCCTTGCTCACTCCCTTTCTCTCTCCCTTTCTGCTAGTTCCTTAGATACCTTATACTCATTGTAGTAGTTCCTTTCACATTTCCATAGATAGTTGTGCCTTTGTTATAGTAGTATAAATACTCAGTAGTTACTTCTGTTAGTTAGCTTTACTCAATATCGAGACCTTCACTACGCACTCTCGAGTGACTTCAAGCTACAACAACTCAACAATCAACCTACAAGTGTGTCTCTGTTAATCTATTGTTGGCTAACGCTCTAGATTCACGGCGACGTCACACCCCGCCCCCGTTTCGACTCCGTCTCCGACTTCGCCCGCGACTCCGGTCATCGTCCTTCGCCGCCTCACTGCCTGGGAAAAGAAACTGCCCAAGCAGTACACTGTCGCTGCTTCCCCCGGAGTGAACTCCCTCCACCTCCCGTTGGAGCTAGAGTCCACTACCAGCGCTTAAGCTCTCGCTCTCTGGCCTGGTTGACTGTGGTGCCACCTCCGACTTTATCGACACGAACTATGTCGCTCGGAATGGCATTCCGGTCCGCACCCTGGCGCAACCGATTCCGGTCTTTAACGTTGATGGCACTCCGAACGACGCCGGCTCCATCAACCAGATCGCGGACTTGGTCTTACGCTACAAAGGCCATTCCGAGCGTGTTCAACTCGCCGTCACTCATCTTGGTAAACAAGACCTTATTCTGGGGTACTCCTGGCTGCGGAAGCATAACCCGGAAATCAATTGGGAAACCAAGGAGGTCAAGATGACACGGTGCCCCCGGTTGCTCCACTTGCCGCGAGGAAGAACGCGTTGAACGGACTGAGCTACGGCGACTCCGGCTGCTCCAGAAGCGACTCCGCTCCGGCCCGTTCCCCTCGGTCGGCACCATGGACCTCTCTGGGCCTGACGACGGAGACGATTCCGTCTCCGGTGACGACTCCGCCCTGCCTGATCTGATGCCGGACTCTGACGATGATGAAGACGATGGTCAGCTTGAAGATGGTGACCGCATCTTCTACACCTCGTTCCGCCCCTCGGAGGAGATACGCGCTGGCAGTACTGTCTCACAGCGCCTGGCCGAAGCCTTCGCCAGGAACTCCGCCCCTCCGCCCTCCGAGATCCCGGACTGGGCTAAGGAGTTTCAGGACGTCTTCAACAAGGAGTCCTTCGACACGCTACCGGAGCGGAGAGCCTGGGACCACGCCATTGAACTCGTCCCCGACGCTAAGCCCACCAACTGCAAGGTGTACCCCATCTCGCCCCTCGAGCAACGCGAGCTCGACGCGTTCATCGAGGAAGGGCTTTCGACGGGCCGGATTCGCCCCTCCAAGTCTCCGATGGCGTCTCCGGTCTTCTTCGTCAAGAAGAAGGACGGCGGACTCCGCTCGTCCAGGACTACCGTGCTCTCAATGCGATGACTGTCAAAAACCGGTACCCCCTTCCGCTGATCAACGACCTCATCAACCGGCTCAAAGGCGCTCGTTACTTCACCAAACTCGACGTCCGTTGGGGCTTCAACAACGTCCGGATCAAGGAAGGTGACGAGTGGAAAGCGGCTTTCCGGACTAACCGAGGCCTGTTCGAGCCCTTGGTGATGTATTTCGGCCTGACAAACTCTCCCGCGACGTTCCAAACGATGATGAATGACATTTTCCAGGACCTCATCCTCTCCGGAGACGTCATGATCTACCTTGACGACATCCTGATCGCCCATTCCGACCTCCGGAAACACCGGCAGATCGTTCAGGAGGTCTTGCGGCGACTCCGAGAACACAAGTTGTACCTCCGAGCGGAGAAGTGCGACTTTGAAAAATCGTCAATCGAGTACCTCGGAGTCATCATCTCCCACAACCACGTCGAAATGGACCCCGTCAAAGTCGCAGGCGTCTCCGCTTGGCCGACTCCGGAAAACAAGAAGGACATTCAGCAGTTCCTTGGGTTCGCTAATTTCTACCGCAGGTTCATTCGGGACTTCTCGACCCTCGCGCCCCCTCTCTTCGTGCTCACCAAGAAGGACCAGCAGTGGACTTGGGGCGACGCGGAGGCCTCCGCGTTCCAAGCGATCAAGGACGCAGTCACCTCGGAACCGGTCCTGGCGATTCCGGACGACGCACGGCCTTTCCGACTTGAGGCGGACAGCTCTGATTATGCGACGGGGCGGTTCTTTCACAATCCGCCCCGGACGGGAAGTGGCACCCTGTAGCATTCTATTCCAAAAGCTTAAATGATGTCCAGCGCAACTACGAAATCCACGACAAGGAGATGCTCGCGATCATCCGCGCACTCGAGGAGTATAGACACTTCCTCGAGGGCGCCGCGATCCCGTCGAGATCTGGACTGACCATAAGAATCTGGAGTACTTCAGGAAGACGCAGCACCTCAACCGGAGACAGGCCCGCTGGTCCCTCTACCTCTCCCGGTTCGACTTCACGCTGCACCACAAGCCTGGCCGCGATATGGGTCGGCCTGACGCCCTCTCCCGGAGACCCGACCACGGAGTCGATTCCGACAACTCCGGCGTCGTCCTTCTGCGGCCTGAACTCTTCCACGTCCGCGCGCCTCGGGTGTTTCCGTTTCCGGTCCCGGCTCTGAACTCCTCCGTGACATCCGTGATGCCCTCTCCGGTGAGCCTGACCTGGAGGAGCCCGTCGCACTAGCGGCCCGGCAACTTCTTAAGGTTCAAGGTCAAGCTCGAGGCCCCCCGCTCCTCACGTTCTGACGAGTGGGTCGGGCCGTGCGAGGACTTCTCCTAAGAACGCGCGCCCGGAACAGAACAGACGGATAGTCGGGCCCGCAAGTACGGCGGGCGGGGTAGATCGAAACCGAAAGGGCCCGTGAACTCGGTCCCTTGCCGTGAGTCGGTGGTCGAAGGTTCGAATCGGGTCGTGTCGGGCCCGATGAGTCGATAGCGTCTCCTCGCACGGAGTAAGGTAGTTCTTTAGACGATCTAAGCGATAGAGTACAGGGTACACTATCGCGCCTTTATATACGCTGGCCCGCAAAGGGGGTGATCGGACACCCTGGCCTCTCCTCCTCCTCCTCGCTCCCGTTCCTGGCCGCAGAGGGGACGATCGCACATCCCTTGCGGGCCAGGCGCTACTCCTGACCTCCTAGCACTCCTCCCCAGTCCCCTGGTGTCGAAGTTGGGCTCGGCGACGGCTCGACGCGTCGTTCTCGGTCACGTGCTTCCCACGTGTGCGTTCCTCCTACTGGGGCGCATGTTCCCCGTCGTCACGTGCTGCGTGTTACGGGCCCGCGATGGCCCGACACCAGCGCCGGAGCGGACGGGCCGGGTCTTATCCGTGACATCACCCCCTCCCTAGGAACGACTCGTCTCGAGTCGGCGTGGCTCGGTCGCCCTGGTTTCTCGGGTTTAATTTTGACTCTAGCTCGTCCTTCCAATCGCAAATTCCATCCAGCCCATAAGCTTAAGCTAAGCTTCGGCTGCGCATTTTAATCTCCCGCGGCTTCTGTCGCCTCGTGGCGTCCGCAGATCGATTCTTCCTGTCCATCAAGTGTTTCACCGCGGTCACGTGCGGTATAGCGTTTCGTGTTGACAATATATTTCGCGTCCTTTGTCCTCTTCTTGCTATTTCGGGCGTCCTCGGGGCGTCTCACTTCGCTCTCCTTTTTGCGAGGGTTTCCATATGGAATATTCCCTGTTTCGGGCCATATATAGGCTGCGTCGATTCTCCTTTCCCCTTCGTTTTTCGTCGTCTCCCCGTCATGGCCCCCCACTATTCCTTTATCGACGAAACATTGCCGCCGTACTCCAGCGCAGTCCCGCCGTTACGGGTAGCGCCTGGTTTCCTCCTCGAGCACTTTCTTTTTCTGGATGCCCTAGCCTTCCCGTCGTTTGCCCCGACCAGCGACCCCAACCATTCTTCGTACCCCGTCCAACAGTCTGGCCTCGTTGATTTGGCGGACCTTCCCGCTCGCCAGGTCATCCGCCTCCCCATGCATGGGGTCGACCTTTCGCGTGTCTTCGTCCGGACCCACTTCACGCGTCGTCCGCGCCTCCACCACTCCCGTCCCCCCCGCTTTTCGCGCGGGTACTTCTGGGATCCTGCTTATCGCTTCTCCCGTCTTCATCGCCCCCCTCTCGTTTGCCCTCCCAGTACCAGTCTCTGGGATTGGCTTCAGGCCTCGTTTGACGCAGCCATGGCGGCTGCCCTCTGGCGCCCGTCCGTGTTCGGTCCTCGGGACCGTTTCTTTGGCGTTCTATTCGATGCTTACGAGTCGTCGTGTCGGTGGAATTTCCCTGGTTGCGGGTCGGGTGGCCCTTCCGACTTACGCGAATACTTGGGCGGTCTCGCGCGCCAGTTTGTCGTTGCCCTGGCGCCGTGTGAGGAAGACGGGGCGGATCGAGAGGCGTTTGAGGATTTGTGGCCAATCCTCGTGCGTAATCGGCCGCTGCTCCCTCTTCGCGTTCACTAACCCCCTTGGCAGCGCGAGGTCCTTTGCTTTGTGTTCTCGTTATCGTTGGCGGGCCTCCCGGTCTTCCTGTCCCGTGGTCTCTGGGACCTGGCTCTCGACTGTGTGGGTCGCGTATTCCCCTCCTCGTCCCGTCCCCGTGCCGAGTTGCTCCTTCATCATTTGCAACAGCCCCGCCCTTTGCTCGTTCCTCACTACTTCGCTTGGGACCCGGTACTGGAGTTTGGGGTGCGATTCTGGGAGGGTCCCGACCCTCACGCCGGCGGCGACCTTTGAGGGAGCCCGTAACCTCCAAGAGGCGGAATTAGGGACCACATTCTCTTTCCTGGGTGTGGCGGAGCGTTGGGCGGAGTGGTTGGATCCTGGCACGGAGCCTTCCCCGCCCCTGGTCATTCGTCAGGACGCTCCCGAAATGGTTTTCCCGGATCCGTCAGTCGTTGAGGAGTTGGAGTCTGTGGTTGGTGCCGGGCTACTGCCACCCGGGCCGGGGGTGATCCGGCATCGGGCCCCGGTAGGTTTGCCCGAGGGCGGCGTCTGGTCCCCGGTTCTGTCCTTCCGTCCCCGCTCCTTGCCGGTGGCCCCCGAAGTCATCATGCTCGATGCCGACGACTCCGACGATGTATCGATGGGCCCTTCACGTGCGTCGTCGCCCGGGTTGGAAATGCTACCCGGCCCTCCCGTTCCGATCCGCGAGGCGTCCGTGATCGAGATTTCGGACGATGATCCGCCGATCCCAGTGGTCCCCAGCCGTTCTGCCCCCCCGCACCTTCCTGTCGAACCGGGTGTCGCGGCTTATGGTGGAGGACACGGACGGCTACGTGCCCTCTGCCCCGGCCTTGAGTCGCACGGGCGCGACCGAACGTTTCCCGGGGGAGCCGTTGCGCCGCCTCGGCGAAGTGGTTCGGACTATCACGCCTCGTTGTTCTTTTTGCGTGCAGACGGGGCGGCTTTGTACCGTCTGGGGCCAGCCCGGCGACCTCGCTTCTAAACTCCCGGCCAACGTCCGGCGGGCTTGTGACTGGTGTAGCCGCTCACACCGCCGTTGCAATTCATGGGGCCCGTTTGCGGCCGCTTACGAGGCCAAGGATTTGCGCGCGTCCCCCATGGCGTTTCGAGTTCTGGGAGTGCACGGACGAGGAGGGCGTGTATGCTCTGTTGGAGATGGATTCGCGGTTCGCGGACCTTCAAGCGGTGTCGGAGAATTTCCTCTACCGGCGCTTCTGCTTCCGTTTTCTGCCTCACTCTAATACCTTGCGGGCGCAACATCGGCGTCGTTCGGAGGACAAGGGGCACTCTTCCCGTCCCAACGTTCTGAACCGGCACGCGGGCCGCCAACCGTCTCCGCGACGCCCCCGGGCTCGGTCGCGGGGTCCCCGAACTGGGCCGTCGCGTCGGCGCTCCCGCTCTCCTCCCCCTCGGCGATCGGCCTCCCCGGTCCGTCGGCCAGCGCCCCCTCCTCGCGCGCGATCTCCCGCGCCCCCTCGTTCCGCACCGGTCACCCCGATCCGCCCCCCACCCACCGGGCCGCGTAGGGACGCGGGCCGTCCCGAAGCTGGAACCAGTTCCGGCCGTGCGGGCCCCTCGGCGATGGGGGACATGTCTTTCCGCCCGGAGGGTTACCCGGACGTGACGCTTTGGTTCGGCGAGCCGTCGCCGGTTCGGGCCACCACCGAGGCGCACCGGTTGTTGGACGACCCGGATGTGGTCCAGTCGTGCCGGTTTTCCGCCGTAGGGGTGATGCTGTTGCATCAGTTACTGACCCGGCCCCAGGATAGCCCGCTGTCCACCGGCGTCCTGCGTTCACTCTGGTCCGAGACTCACATGTTGATGCAGCCGGCGGATTTCGAACTGATGGATTACCTGGGGCACTGGTTCTCTGCGGCCCAAATGGTGGAGTTGTACACTCGGGTGCGAGACGTCTTCGGGGCCGTCGACGACTCAGGGTCAACCCGGTTGGACTTGTGGGAGCAAAGGGCCGCTGCGGACCGTCGCCAGGCCGGTCGCTCAAGCCCCGTTCCTGGGGGTACTCGGCCTGGGTCGGGGTCGCGACGTCCACCTCCGTCGGGTCCTGCGGCGGGTCGAAAGGGGAAGGGCCGGGCGTAGCTGACGGGTGTTTTTCGTGTTTTTTTTTTGTTATTTTTGTATCACTTTTGGTACTTCTGCAATTAATTCGTGCTGCCCCCTCGTGTGTTCTGTTGTGCGGGCGTAAGGGGATCGCTTAGATTCTGTCAGACTGCGGGTCGGGCCGTGCGAGGACTTCTCCTAAGAACGCGCGCCCGGAACAGAACAGACGGATAGTCGGGCCCGCAAGTACGGCGGGCGGGGTAGATCGAAACCGAAAGGGCCCGTGAACTCGGTCCCTTGCCGTAGTCGGTGGTCGAAGGTTCGAATCGGGTCGTGTCGGGCCCGATGAGTCGATAGCGTCTCCTCGCACGGAGTAAGGTAGTTCTTTAGACGATCTAAGCGATAGAGTACAGGGTACACTATCGCGCCTTATATACGCGGGCCCGCAAAGGGGGTGATCGGACACCCTGGCCTCTCCTCCTCCTCCTCGCTCCCGTTCCTGGCCGCAGAGGGGACGATCGCACATCCCTTGCGGGCCAGGCGCTACTCCTGACCTCCTAGCACTCCTCCCCAGTCCCCTGGTGTCGAGTTGGGCTCGGCGACGGCTCGACGCGTCGTTCTCGGTCACGTGCTTCCCACGTGTGCGTTCCTCCTACTGGGGCGCATGTTCCCCGTCGTCACGTGCTGCGTGTTACGGGCCCGCGATGGCCCGACACCAGCGCCGGAGCGGACGGGCCGGGTCTTATCCGTGACAGTTTGAAGGTTCCAGGTACATATATACCTACACATATACACAAACACATACATAAATCTTGTTCCAGAAAAAAGTTTTGCAAAGATTAAATTTTAATGCCAACTTTAATCCCATTAGTGGTCACATGATGCTAATTGTGGGGACACATTACCCTATCATGGCAGGAGGAGGGTCCCCAGAGGGTCAGAAAAAAATTTCCGACCTTATATTTGTGATTCGGCTCCCCTTGCACACATGATAACAAGCATTATAAGATGGATATTTATTATACTGGTGACATTGAATATTAATCCATACCTATTGAAGGTAGATGTGTAATAAACCCAACTCCTCTTATTTCTTGCTCTGCTTCATTGATATATGCAGAGACCCCTGTACATTCTTGGACTTGTTCAATTTGATCTTGCCAAAACGACTTGGCACTTGAGCCTGCAGGTCCCAGTTTCTATGAAGTTTGTGAATTTAGATCAGATATTATATGTTTGGGAATCACCTGACACCAATCAACAATGTTTTCCATATCCAGAGGCTTCAGAAATTTGAGATGGATAATCTCATGGGCTATCCGGTCAACGATAACATGATTGCGACAATTGCGGGCAAGGTCTAAGTTCTGAACAGCTTGCAAGACAGCAGTGCTTTCTGGTACTGCTCTGATTGTAAGCAACCCAAATCTATGAAGATTCATCAGAACAAGTGCCCCAAAGTAAACACCACATACTGAACCCAGTGCAGCATATCCAAACTCAAATCACGGCCTTCACCTAGTGCCTTTGCCCATGCTGTCATAACTTCTGCTGCAAACTGTTCAGGAGGCAGATACAAATCACCAGAGCGTGCTGCATCCACAAGGAAGTTAATTGGGGATATTGCTTCATCCATGTTAGGAATTATGCCATTGGAATAGATTTCCTTGAATGGCAGAAGACAGCTATGTGTAATGCCAAGGAAGCCCCAGCATTCTTCTGGAGAAGGAAGGTACTGTTTGAGGAACTGTATACAGTGGGAAAGCAGCCGGAGGAAGAATAATGTATCTGGATGCCTGTGAAAGATTGTGGAGTAAGCATTATCATACTGGCAGACCCAAGTGGATGAAGTGTTTGGACTCTGGGCAAGGGGCAGTCGGCGTGCTAACAGAGCACGACTTAGTGAAGCAGTCCAAAGTTGGTTGTCCCAAGTTTGAAGGATGGAGGCAGGGTACCTGCTGAACTGTGGCCAGAAAATGGAGAATGGTGCTTTCCAGAGAGTTTGGTGATTATTGGGTTGATTTTGCTCAGCTGTGGATCTAGTTGCAAAGGGGTAGACAGCAAGAGATTGTTCAATATTGATGTTGCTGAGTGAGGCAATAATCTTGTCATCTGGCTCTAAATCTGATAGGAGGGAGGCCAGGGAAGCAGAAATTGTCCTGTATATAAACTTGAGTGAATGTCTCAATGGAGGAACAGAAGATGCACCTTCGCAACAGAATATGTTGTGTGCCCTGTGCTGCACCAAGGAATTTGATCATTGCCACAGCAACATTGTGTGCCGTTGGGGGAAATGAGAGCCACCATATGTCCCGCCCACATCGGCGACGATCTGAGAGGAAGTCAAGGAAGGAGGTGTGAAAAGGTTCGACATATTTGTCAACCACAGGAGGATTGTGGAGCTCAGGAACGTCGAGCAATGAGCTCACTGCACGTAAGAGTAGCCGTGTTCGGCCTGTTCTGAGGCCAAGGATACAGTCGACATCTTCAGGCTGCAGTCCAACCTGGTATTTTGGGTGCAGAAGGATGAAGAGAAGATTCGGAACAATGATGTCGGCATCACTGGGCAGTGTACACAGAATCTGCGTATAGAGTTGATCAATAGTTCCTGTGCTCTGTGGGTCCAGGGCCAATACAGCTTCGATGCGGTCACTTGGATGTGAAAATTCATCATCCAAAAAGCGGACGATGGCTGCAGCATGGATGAACATGCCCGATGACTTGTCGACAAGCTGCTCTAGTGTTGTTTCGGAGATCCACTCCTCCTCGAGCGGGAGACCCCCTGCGATTAGCTGACCCCTTATTCTATTGAAAGAATAGCTTAGGTAGCGGTGGATGTCGCCGTAAGACTCTGCCTCAGCTCCCAGTGTCATGATATCGACGATGTTGTGGGCGAGTGGGCTGTCGAGGATGCGGGCAAGATGTGCATCATTACTGCTAGAGAGGAATAGCCGCAGAGGCAGTCCTCCGTCGGCTATGGAACGCCAGAGAAGCGCGAGAAGATCAGTCTGCACGCGACTTGTTTCACATTTGTCAAGCCCGTCTATCACCAAGATTGGATTGCGGGCTGGTGGAGGAAGCGATAGGATAATATCGAGAAAGAGTCGTTGGAACTGGTGGCCGGGTGCACAGTCGCAAATAAGGCTGTCTTCACGGAGAACATCATCCAGAGCAACCGAATAGGCATTCCAGACGGTTGCCAGCTGATATGCAAGTGTGGGGAAGAGACCTAGAGACGCTGCGCGAGTGCTGTCCTTCCCAGAAAAGAAATAAGATCCGCCGAGCAGCCCTGCATTGCTGCATTGCTCTGCGAACGTCCGTGCAACAGACGATTTGCCCGCTCCAGCGGGGCCAGTCAACCAAAGAATAGAGAGTTCTGCGTCGTCCTCGTTGTGCGCCCATTCCATCAAGCCATTCAATGCGGCTGTTCGGGTTCCCGGGAGGCAAACCAACGTAGAAGAGAGCTGGTAGGCAGAATGGATGGCATCTCGGACAATATGCTGTCGCAGGAGGTCAATTCCGCTGGCTATACCATGATCAACACTGTGTTTATTAGGTCACAACACACGTACGGCCGTTATGGTAGTGAGTAGATTGGGTGACATTCCCGCCAACTTGGAATTGCATAACTGGGACCCCGCCGGCGGGTATGATTGATTTTGGGGGAGAGGATGCGGAATGATGGAGGGGAACGATAGGAGAAGTCATAATGCAGTCTGCAGCTGCGACCGAGCATGGGACGGCGAGCTTTAAACGACCAGGTGCGTTGTACCACAAAAAGTCGAGCAGCCGCCAGGGATGTCAGAAACGGTTCCGTCAGCCTGTCCAGTCGATTCGCCGTCCTTATTCTCCGGAGATTAATGACGGACAAAGACCGCGCAACCATCACGAGCGTGTCGATTTCTGTGCAGCGGATCCAGCAGCGTGGAGACTCGGAAAGCTAGTGAATAGCCCTTGTCCTTGAAAGGAAATCGCCGTTCCCATGAAGGATTCAAAAGGCCGCGATGCATGCGGCTGCGAGTCGATGACGGTGGCGGAGATGTTCAGGCATTGTCGGCCATGAGAGCTTGAGAGAAGGAAGCCACGTCACCCCATCAATCACCCTCAATTAGCAATGCGAGTTGTGATCAAATCATTTAATTTTATTCTTGTCAATTTCATCGTCGATCTCGCAACGACATAATCTAGACGCAGCTGTACTATCAACTTGAAGGCGTTGGTCTTTGAACACCGCCAACCTACTGTTCCCATAACTAGATCAGGCCAGATAAACCACATCGAGCTCCGTACCCTCCTCCCACCATGCGACAACAACCGGGGTGTACGGCTCCATCGCGAGCTTCCTGAGCCCAACGGCGCGAATCGTGCGGTCTGACAGCGCCGCGGCCGAGTTCAGCGGGCCGTCAAAGCCGATCGCGGAATACGGGTTGTGGATGCGGCGCGCGAAGCCGGCGTATGTCGGGCCCTCCCCAGTCGAGCCGGCGAATCCAAGATGCGCGAACCAGTGCGGATCGAAGCGGCGCGTCGTACTAGTCAGGGGTGTGACGCTGGGTTTGACGCCTGGCCGGAAGTGGTATCGCGCAAAGGTGTATTCGGGGTCGCGCGTGCCATCCTCAGCGGCAGCCATGTAGTGACCGCCGCAGTACCATGAGAGGAGGTACGTGTTGCTGTGCAGAACGGAGGAGTGGACGACTAGCTCCAGTTGCTTCTCGATCAGGCGCCGGTCGGTCGCGTAGAAAAAGGTTTGCGTTAATGAATTTAACGGTGCCGGTGAGTATACATTGTCCGGAGCGACTAGGTCGGCGTGAGAAAGTAAAGGGAGATCAACAAGTGGCAGCCAAAGGTCTGCAGTAAGGTCTGCAAGTGCATAGAAGATCAAATTAATTTGCGTCGGTGTTTCGGCGCCTCCATCTGGGTCAGCAAGGACGGCGACATGGCTGGGGAGAAACTGGACGGTCCTTGTGACGAAACAGCCCTTCAGTACGCAGAATTTGCTCGTGTTCATATCTATGATGATGAACGCCCGTCGCAGGCCCTGTGGCTGGATGAAGTTCGTCTCCAGTGCGACGAGCGGTGCGTAGGCCGAGAGCACAAAATGCGGGCGGAAAGCAACGACATAATCTGGGATGGAGAGTCGGAGTGCCGGTGCTGCGGTATTGGTCGCAAGATCGATGACCACAACGGCGAGGGAAGACCTGTCTCTATATCGTCAGCTATCCGGCGCAATGATAACGCGTGTAACGCACACAGGTACTGCCCGCTCGAACATGCACACGACAATCTCCTCCCTTTCATAGACCGGCAGCATTACCATCTTTGTTGTGGTGTCATGGTCCCAAATACACTTTGCCTCTGCGACGTCCCAAAGCTCTTGTCGCTCATTATGTCGCTCTATTAGGACATGCCGCCCCCCAGGTAGCGCCTCCGCGCGGGAGAGAGTAGCGTCGGGATCGGAAGAGGTGCCAGGGGTGCTGGGTTTCAAAGGGAGGGGGAAGCGATGGAGAATCTCCTCTGCCTGCGAGCCGTTCGGAGACGACGAAAGGGACTGCCAGACGAAGGGACCAAGTACAACACGCTTAACAAGCGCAACAAGCTCATGCGTTGAATATTGGCTGAGAGTCGCATGGGGCGGGAGCGCGACGAGCCCGCGGCGCTTTAGCCGAGAGAGAAGGGCGATCCAGAGCTGCTTCGACCGCGCCAGCTCGTGCAATGCGCGACAGACCTGCCGGATGTGGTCAGTAGTAAGAACTCGTCAAGATGAGTGGCTCCCAACGCACCATCCCCGTTTGAACCACTGTATGCACATCTGCTGCACGGAGGATGCGAAGCAGGACATCGGGGCCGAGCGCGAGGAAGCCCATGGTGGCAAAAGACAAGATGCTATGTGCCACGTGTCAAGCCTAGCGAGACAGCGTCTAAAAAAGGAGCGCGGACTCGGAATGCCGCTGGCGCTTGCTTGTCAGGCTTCGGTCAATTCATGTTTGTCGTGTGGCAACGGAACGCACTGGTGATAGAACTTTGCTATCTTTACAACTGTACTGGTACAAACAAGCCTGGCTCGAAAGCACGTGAGCAGACTCCTACACTTCCCCCGCAAGCGCCGTCAACACAGCGAGACACTCCCCCGCCCGGACCCGCACCTCCCGCGCACTCTCCAGCAGCGGCCGGATATTCTCCGGCGTCATCGTCATCGCCACGCTTGGTAGCTCATCATCACCAGCCACGCCCTCCTCGACGAAAGACAGCCGTGTACGGGACCCAGCGCGCTCGCCACGCGGAAGAAGAAGCGAGGTCGTTGACCTGTTGGCAGTCGCGGGGGCAGGGGTTACACGCCGAGCAGATGGCGACCGGGACCGGGACCGCGAACGAGAGCGGGACTGCGCTCGCCCGAAGCGGAAGATGGAGGCCAATGAAGGCCGGCGGGTGGGTGATGTCGCCTTGAGAGAGCTCGTTTGTGCCAAGTTCGGCGCCACAACATGCTCGTATTCCTCTTCCAGGGGGATGGTTTTCTTCCGCAGTCCCTTGAGCATCGCCCGAATCCTACTCATGCGCAGCCTCCCGCCCTTCTTCTCATCTGGCTCCGACCCACTCTCCCCCGACTCCGACACCTCAAGCGACGCAAAGGTCACCCTGCTGCCCATCGCCTCCCTCTTCCAAACACCCGCCTGCGCCGGCTGCTTCGGCTCCCCGTCACTCGGGCTCCGCATCATCTCCCTCAACAGAACCAACTGCCGCTGGCTCAGGTCGCTCCCATTCCTTGATTTCGTGTTGTCCTTGTCGTCTTCTTCCTCATTAGCCCCACTTCCGCCCAGCTCAACGAGTAGCGTCGCACACTCCCACACAACGCGGTACTGCTCCCGAATGCCCTCTAACGCGCGGCGTTGCCGTACCGCTGCAGGAATTGGGGGCCGGGTACTGGTGGTGGACCTCGATCTGGACCGTCGCCGAGGTAGAAGGGGGAAGTTGGAGAGCCGACTATATCGATGAGATCGGTCGTCAGCTTCTGCTTCGTCTGGCGAGATCTTAACGCTGTCAGATACGCTGTCGATAAGCGTGGCATATGTTGTCTGCAGGACTTGCAATTCTACCACAATGAATCAGCCTCCCAAAGCGAAAAACAACGATGATACACACCTTCGACAACATTCGCAAACTCCCGCACCATCCCCAAATCGCGCTTCAGCCCCTCCTGCGCTTGGGTAATCCGCACCGGTATCTTCAGCCCAATGGGGAGAGAGCTTCGTCTGGATCCGGTGGGGCTCGGGCCACCGCCGATAAGCGCAGAAGACCGCCCGAGCGACTTGGTCTGCGTCGACATGACCGGTACCGGTGTCGAACTAGTCGGTAGCACCAACGAAGGTGTCGAAGTCGCCGGTGAAATAGCAGCCAACGGTGGGGTGGAGGAAACGGCGGCGGGTTCCGGCTCGATGACAACAGCGCCACTCGCCGCTCTTCGGTGCTTCAAGCTCAGTTTCCGCCCTAACGCGGTCTTCTTCTTACCGTTCTCTTTCCCAAACGAGTCGACGCTGGCCCCGGCACCAGATGGCCGGCCCACACCCAAGATACCATAGCCTTTGCTCCGCGGGCTGGGGCTGGGCGTGGCCTTCGGTTTCGCGACCGCTTTCGAAGTCGGAGTGGTCTCGTTGTCGTTGGAGCGTTTGCGCGGGACAAGGCCCAAGAAGCGCAAGCTGGTCTTCTTCACAACGACCTTCGCCAGGGGCGGTGTCGCAGTTGCAGTCGCCGGCGCCGCATACGAATGACGGGAAGTAAAAGAGGACTCGGAGCCGGTTGGTTGGTGGCTTAATCGCGAGCGCGGGCGGGGAACGGCGTAGGCTGCAGAGTTAATAGTGAGTGGCCAGTCATGAAATCCTACGAAAACACTCACCAACGTCGACAAAGCTCACGCTGTTACTCTTCCTGCGCCTGATTCCGCCAGGGCTCCCTCCAAAAACATCGCTGATGCGGGACAGCAGCCCGCTCGAGCCCGGTGTAGGCAGCGCAACTTGCGAAGAGCTTGCTGCCGGGAATCGGATGTGGGGGCCTGGACTGGATAGGGCCCGGCGTTGGCGCTGCCCCTCCTCGCGCTCGAGGTCGGCATCCCAGTCTTCAGCCTCTTCGCTTTCGCTGCTGGGTTCGGCGGTTGAGTGAGAAGGAGTCGTTGTCGGGAGTGAAAACGCGGTGGGTTGTTTCGCAGTCACGAATGGGGAAGGGACAGGTTGGGCGGGAACTGGGGATGCGTATGTGCGAGCAACTGCCGTCGTTGGTGTCGTCTCCTGAGGGGGAAAGTTGGGCTCGTCTTCGCTGGATTCACTCCAAGTAGGCGGTGTTTGTTGTTGCGCATGACGGGCAAGAATGGTAGACCCAGATCGCCGAAAACGGATCTCGCTGGCGCGTGGGGTGCGATCGCGGTCGCGGGGTTGATGGTTTTGCGGGCGGGAGGGGTGGATAAGGGAGTCCGGCGTTGTTATTGGGGTGGGGGCAAGGTACAGTGTGGTTGGAGGGATAGGGGCGGATTCGCCCTCTACTTCGTCTTCGTCAGCCGCGAAGTCGTCGTCCCAGTTCTCCTCCGCTCCCTCTGTTAACTGGGCGGGGAAATGTCTGTTATTGTTTTGCTCGTGGTGTCCGTCATGTGGATTGATCTCGGTCTTCTTCGTGCCGCCGTGGAATTCATAGTCGTCGTCCCAGTTGTCTTTTTCGGTCGCAATCTCGTCAATGGTAGGTTCTGTAGACGAGTAAGCATGGCGGGCGTAGACGGTAAGCGGACTAAGTGTGAGGGACGGGGAGGAGTAGGGGAAGGAGGCAAGTAACGAGGGCTGAGTGCGGCTAAGGAACATGACAAGTGGCTCAGAGGAGCACACAGAGGGTGGGGGGAGGGTCTTTATAACCGCAGCGAAGATGGCCAAAGCCCTCCAATGACCAGCGCTTGGAACAGCATGACGACGCTCAGGCCAGTCAAGCGCTGGCCATCGTGCATACGTCCATCCGCCCCCATGCTAGAGCGGGGTCCCAATGGTCCATCGAAAACCAGGATGAAGGAGGAAAACAAGGGGGAAAGGGGGGGGAAAGCGCACCTGGGTCGTGGTCGTGCATAGCTTGTCTGTGGATTTGCTTGTTGAGCGCGTGTGGTCATAAGTCTCCTCGTCGGGGCGGTCGCGGTCGGGTGGTGGTGGGGGTAAATCGTGGGGTGTGGCGGCATTCGACAAGGGAGGAGGAGAAAAAACGGGAAAACACGTCACACGCCGAAACTTGACGATGATCGGCGGAGAAGACTGATGGCGTCTGGTCGTCAAGGCACACGCTTCCGATTACTTCCGGCGCGAAGCCAAGGAGAGCCAAGGGATACTTAAAAACAAACCCTGAGCTAGGTGGAAATTAAATCGGTGCCGGATTCGGTTTTGGGCCATCGAAACCCGTATATTTACATGCCTACACTGAGCACTCCCAGCTTGAGTTTGGACACACGACCGCCCGTTCTGCCAGTGGCTGGAGTCTATGCAAGATTAGGCCGGCACACCTCTTTACTAAAATACTGCACATGGCCTCAAAACACTGCACTCAACACAAAATCCAATGGACCTTTCCTCCACGTTGCTAGAAGGAGCTTATCAGCGAATAATACACTGACCTAGCAATTTGACGTTCGTTTTTAACTTCTGAGGTGCTAATCTATCAGCCCAGAGCTAAGTTAAGTACGCTGTCCGGAGGGGCAGGATGATGCTCCACACGAGGGGCGACGTGGCCTCTCCCTGGTTCTGATCACAGACTTAAAAATTGGGCGAATGTCCATCGAATGAATGCCAATTCGACGAAGATAGTTACTTTCGAAGTTTTCAAACCCTGTGCATATTGAAGCGAGCCTTCAAGTTTATGAATCCCAGAGGACTCACATATATGGCCTTCTCAGGCCCCGGCAGCTTGCAGTCCATCGGGGACGTACTGACAAATGTCGATAAGTATCGCCCTTGCGTCCAGGATTTGCAACCACAGATACGGCGGGTGATGCCACGTTTGCATGCTTCCAAAAGACACGCCAACAGAACAGCCGAACAGTGGCAGATCTAGATATATCAGTTCGAAAATAAACATTCCAGGAATAACTTCTACAGACCAATTACAGACTTCGCAGCCAGCGCCGACATTGCAGTGCTGGCATCCTTCTGTTGGACGATATATACCGTTCGGGAGGATACGGGGCAGCGCTCTTTCCCACAGCGTGGAGAGGATGCGCCCCACCGCTACACCGCGCTCGAGTCAGCTCTTGTGCAAGGGGCAAATCCAAACACTAGTTACACTACCGAGAGGAGAAGGGCAAACCAATAGGAACTGCCCGTCGCGCGCAGGAGGAGAACAACTGAAGTGATTGTTGATCGCAGATATGAGTTGAAATTGGTACAATGCCATCTGATGGCGCCGGAGGGGGCAGCGCGATGAGCGAGGTCGCAGCATGGTGACCGCCCTAGGAGGGGGGTATAAAATGGGACTGGGGCTCCTGCTGAGGTCAAACAACCCAATCCAGCCCGCAATGTCCCAGATTTCAGCAGCCCAGAGCAAGTTTAAAGGGAACCGGACGTACATGGCGTGTCTGGGATGCCGAAGACGACACGTTAAGGTCAGTCCTTCGTGTTTGCATCCATAAGCCGGCGTGACTTACACGACCTTTAGTGCCAGCCGACAGCGAGTCCAGGCAACCCAGCATGTGTCCGCTGCTCTAGGAAAGGGCTTTTGTGCGAATACTTGGACACTGAAGAGGAGGAAGCGCGCTATCCACCTGTCCACGATTTGCGAGCGCAGCCGGAAACTCAGGGCCAGGGTGTAAGCCTTGTCGATCCATATGCTGCGTACAACAGCTCGCCCGCGGCTGGCGGAAGCGGACAGTATCACGATGATATGGTTCGAGTTCAGCCTGCCAGTGGCGCAAGACCGTTTGCCGAAGCGGCCGTGGACTACGCAGCAGAATACTTTCAATGCACCCAGTATGCTATGACAGCGACAGGGTACGATTATGCTGGGAATGGTGCATACTATCAGCCGTAGTGAGATCTGTTCCTGTGCTAAACGGCTTACCAACTGTTCCACAAGTGCGGGGTACACCGGATTTTATGCGCCGTCGCAGCCTGCCCAGCCGTAGTGCGTCCGTTGTGCTGTGTTGCGATAGAGCGGCTTATGTATTGTTCTAGCGGCTGCATTTGCACGGAGCCCCCTTGCCGGTGCCGCGCGGCACCGACATACTAGTAGACGGTAGACGCTTAGATGAAGGATTGTGTCGATATCTAGAGTCATGTATGAAGCATCTCGTTGTTATCCTCTCGTTGTGCTGGATCTGCTGAGGACAACGTGAAGAGGCAACGGACGGAGAGATGGGCGCTGTCTCACCAAAGATGCATAGCTCTTCCTTCTCTCTTGAGCTGGACGCATGATTGTCTCCGCCGTATAGTAGCGTTTTTTTTTTCAGTTCTTCGCCTAGGTCATGTCTACTTTGACCAAGGACAACGCGCCCAGCCATACCAGACAGCGCTTGCATGTATTGACTCGGCGTCGCGGCGGGCGGCAGCTCAAACCTGCCCCCGCCTTGGTGACGAGACGAGCGCGCAGGTGCGGGACTGATGAGGGAAAGAAGACAAGAAGGTTAGTTACGTCACGCGGCTTGATCCGAAAGCGGTGCTCGCCTATTTATCGCCTATCAATCGTCACACGTTTTTGCGGAAGGTTCTTTTCCTCAACGACCACCCTGCGGCCCCTCAGCCAACCTGGTGCTGGGCCCGGGCGTCGGTCTTTGCGCACCGCTGCGCCGTCATACATCCACTGTGGCGGACCCACTCAGGCTGGCATGACGTCCAACCATGTTCGCTGCCGTGACTCGCCGGCGCCGTTGCCTCAAAGGGGGTACTGTAGCACATGAATCCAGTCCAAGCATGTCGTCGCAGCAGCCGCCGACGGATACGTGGCACATGGCCGAGCTTCTTGCCTCACACCACCATGAGCCTCCTCACCCTTGGCCCCGACGTCCTACTCTACGTCCTTCGCTTCGCAGACGTTTATACGGTGGTACAAATCAGAATGGTGCATAATAAGTAATTCTCTCTCTCGGTACTTATCAAACTGACCCTATCCGCCAGGTCTGTCGCGCATTGCACAGGCTAGCACAGTCGAAGCAACTCTGGATCGCCCTCGTCTCGTCGTTGAAGCGGCGCGGGCTTGTTGCGCTCCCACCCGACGTAATGCTGCATCAATACTCTACGCCCGAGCTCGTTGCCCTCGTCAAGCGTGTTGTTCTTGGTCCCCTTGTCTGGCAGTCTTCACCGTCGTCTCCAACTGCTCCGCCCACTGAGGAGTTCATCCACCGTTTTGTTCTCCCCTTGACTCCTACTACAACAGGCGTGCCTTTGGATGCTGAGCATGACCTCTCGCGCGTGGAGGCGCTGCCTGGGGGGCGGCACGTGCTGATTCAGCGATTCCATCGGCGACAAGAGCTTTGGGATGTGTCTGGGGCGAAATGTATCTGGGCCCACAAGATTGTCACAGCTACGGTAGCCCTGCCGGTCTATGAAAGGGAGGAGGTTGTATTATGTATGTTCGAGCAGGCGGCACCGGAGTGCGTTTCCCGTGTTCTCTCGACACTCAACCTTGACGACAGATCAGGTCCTCCCTTACGGTTCTGGTCATTGACCTCGCAACCAATGCCGTCGAGCCGGCGCTCCAACTCTCCATCCCGGCGCCTCTTGTTGCTGTCCGACCGCATTTTGTGCTCTCGGCTTATGCACCGCTCGTCGCGCTGGAGGCAAACTTCATCCAACAACAGAGCGTGCAACGGGCGCTCGTTCTCATCAATATGGAGGCAGGGCAGTTCTGTTTGCTGAGGGGCAATTTTTTCGCCAGGACCGTGCAGTTTCTTCCTGGCCACGTAGTCGTGCTTGCTGACCCAGATGAAGATGCCGACAGCCGGACCCAAATCCACCTGATTTTCTATGCGCTCGCGAAGCTTCCTGCGGACCTGTGGCGACCGCTAGCTGATCTCGCTTCCCTTACTACCGCTAGCCTTCCAGCGGATGATATGACCCAGTCACCTGCGCCGCTGCATGCATTGACGCAAACATTCTTCTACGCAACCGACCGGCGCCTAGTGGAAAAGCAGCTTGAACTCGCCGTCCATGCCTCCGTCTTGCATAGCAACGCGTACCTCCTCTCGTGGTACTGCGGTATGGACTACATGGCCACCGCCGAGGATGGCACGCGCGATCCCGAATACACATTTGCGCGATTCCACTTCCGGCCGGCCCGGGATGACGAACCCCATGTCACCCCCCTCACCCACATCACGCGGCGCTGCACCCCGCACAGGTTTGTCCGGCGCGGCTTCGCCGGATCCACCGGGAAAAGCCTGACATACGCCGGATTTGCGCGTCGCATCCACAACCCGTATTCCGCGGGCGGGTTTGACGGCCCACTACACTCGCTGGCGCCGTTCTCCGACCGCACAATTCACGCCGTCAGGCTGAAAAAGCTCGTGCTGGAGCCGTATACCCCGGTCATTGTCGCATGGTGGGAGGGGCAATCAAAACTTGATGTGGGATACCTGGCGTGAAGGGCCGGATTTATTTCTTTCCCGTTTGCTATCTAAATCCTGATCTCAGTGAAGTGTTGACTGTTAACAGAGCTGAGAGCTGACCGAATAACTCGAAATACGGCTCGAAGGCTATGTCCATTGGGTGCCGCGGACTCGGATACGCACCGGAACGTTGCAAAATGAACAGGGCATTTGTCCTGAGAAGAGATCGAACGGCCGGCGTCGCCCCTATCAACCGTGCCACGTGGCCCACGTCATCAGATATCCGCCAAATGCTTCTTTTCTCTTAACCGCCATGTCCACCGTGACGCGTAGCAAAGCACCAGCCTCCGCTTCTTTATCTATCCAAGCTTCTAGTTTCATTAGCAGCCTCAACAGCAAGGAGGATGCCTCCAAAAGATCAAGACGAGGAATTAAAACCATTGTACGCTATTTTCGACGCAATCGCATCCCATTAATACTGCATTCAAGTTGCTGACGAACTCGCCAATCATGTCTGCCCCGCGCCACACCGACAAGGCGGTGCCCTGCAGATACACCCGCTAGGAGTATGTGTGTGAGCGAACTACACTAAAGTACGAGTAACAGACTCACTATGGCTGGACTGGCGGCTGCTGGGCATAGTATTCGGTGTATCCTGCACTAGCGGACCATCGGGTAAGCTTTCGTCAATCGGAACCAATGCAATGGGCTCACTAGGGCCGATAGTACCCTCCATTTCCGGTATAATCGTACCCTGTTGGTGCCACTGCGTACTGGATGCCCTGAAAGTATTCTGCGGGGTAGGCTCCCATGCCGGCTCGGTCGGCCTCAGAAGGCAGTCTTGCTCCAGGCAGAACCGTATCATAATACCCTCTGCTTCTGCCCGCTGAAGGCGAACTCTGGTGCGCAGCATATGGATCGGCGAGTTGCAGACTCGGCCCTGGAATCGGCGGCCGCGCTCGTGGTTTTGGGGCGGGGGGATAACGTGTCTCCTCCTCTGCGGTCTCCAGGTACTCGCAGACAAGCCCTTTCTTGGAGCAACGCACGCACGTCGGGTCACCTGCCTCCGCTGTAGGCTGGCACTGTGAAGGGTGTGTGAGTCACTCCGCATTAATCATAATGGATGCAGACGAAAAGGACTGACTTTGACGTGTCTTCTCCGACAAGCCAGACAAGCCATGTACGCCCGTGTCCCTCTGCCCTGCGCTGCCATGTGGGACATCGCAGGCGGGACGGGGGGTCTGTCGTTTAGCAGGAACCCAAGCTGCATTTTATAGCTTCGTTCGCGCGGGCCGGCCGGCTCGCCACCAGGCTGACTCCCATTCCCGCCTCCCTGCCTCCCTCCACTGTCATCGAAACGCATTGCGTTTCACCTTGTATCTGCGATCAAGAATTGGCAGAGGGCACTAGTCCTGCGCGCGACGGGTCGTTCCTATGAGGTAGTTCCGACGGGGTGTTGTTTAGATGACCCCTCCCTACTGCTCGACGCGGCAATATAACGAAGCAACTGACTCAAGAGTCTCACTTACGCCGCGACGCGCATATGCGTCCTGCGAGTTAGAGCTCCCAAGGATGCGTGCAACCTGGCTCACAACGAGTCCATGTGCGGGGCCGCCTCCCGCCGACAATGCACATCTCCCAGTGCTGGTAGGCAGCACCACGATCTTGGAGTCAGCCAACAACTGTGTAAGGACTATTCTGGGCATACATAGCTATTTCTTGATGCTGATTCGGTATCCAGATCTGCCAGCGCTCGGGCTGTTGACAGATTTGCGGGAAGTCTTGAGGCGTGGCCGCAAGTGATTTGTCGGCTTGAGGACGTGGAATAAGAGTCAGACCGTGACGGTGATATCGGTTTTGGTTCAAGCCGACGATAGATTCCCGAGTCTTGGTGCCGGTACTCCCGAACAAGCATTGTGAGTCAGTCCTCTATCCGAATCATTCCATCAATCAACCGATTAAGCTTAGGCCTACCATTAATATTGACAACTATTTGTCTTAAGCATTAATTCGAATGAAGACAAGTTATAACAGCGTGTCTCCTACGTGTAGAGCATCATCCTGCTCTTCTTCAGAGCGTACTGAACGTCCATCGGTGTAACAGTCGAGCTGAAGGTAATGAATCAGCCTTGAGTCACGTTGAATATACGGATCTGTTTTTTTACCGATACGCGTGGCCTGCATAAAGCGCCGCATCGTGCACAACTGTGCGAAGGAAGGCTCGCAGCATCGCGCGAGAATCGTCGTACATCAGGCGGGTCGAACGCTTGACACCGCCTCGTCGGGCGAGGCGTCGGAGGGATGGGCGGGAAATGCCTGATTATGATGATGTACCGAGTTTAACTGGACATGTAACAAGAATACCGAGTGCCGCATCTTGAAGAATGCTGTTCCTCCGTCGCTGGGCGGCTGTGTAAAACGCGCGTCGGCCGCAGGTTTTGCCGCCCGTTATGACACGCGGCTGAACATCAAGTTCACAATTGTCTGGCTGCAAAGCGCGGCATGCTCACTTTCTGGATCGTCCGAGCCATAAGAATCGAGTTGAAGGGGGGGGCACACTGCGAGTGCGAGTAATGTGGTCGTGGTCACTGTGAGAGAGATGCCACGATGAGTCATAGTCGGTAGTGATGGGATCGGGACCGAGCACAGCCTTATGTATTGTTCTGCAGGGCCGGGCTTACTAGTAAGCCCTGAGGCCTGAGGCCCGGCCCAGCACGGTTGCCAAAAAATAGGCCCTGAAGTAGGATTAATTTATGAGAAATAGTGGACAAAAAAATGCATATTTTCACAACTTGGAACAATAATAAATAAAACTCCAGGAAAATAGACTTGATTTGTAAAGAATTGGGGCATATATTAAGTCATCAGATTGGACTGAACTCAGAGCTAATATCAGCTGACAATTTTGTGGCAATGATTTCAAAAAATAAATGCACCAAATATATAAGACCATATATATCAAAAGTCTGGGCCAGCACCAAAGTGTGCCTAATATGTTAGAAATAAGTGACAAATTGCCATTATATATGACAAATTGGGGTAATACTTAATGGGACTATGGCAGTCAAAGTGGGGAAGTATTAAATTTCCACACACTTTGTAAAAAATTCACTTTTCTGCAACTTCTTGAGCAAAAAACCTTTTTCCGCAAGTTTATTTTGTAAACTTGACAAATAGTTGTGGATCACAGCCATTTCTAAAATCTGCGAAATATTTTCAAAGAACATTTTTCCCGCAACATTTTTCTATCTTGAATATCTGCTTCAAGTTCCCGCCACCATGCCCGGCATCATCAATGTCCCCCCAATTTGGCACCGGTCTGGGGTCCAGACATATGCAAACTGCCTCCGCCGCTGGAGGGTTCACTGTCAAGTCGTTGTCCCTTCAAGAGCCACTACATACCAGGCCCATTTACAGCCCGCCCCATCGACCCTGCGCATCAGAGGGGTGCCACCAAACACGATGTTCACAACGGAGCCTGTGCGGCCGGCGAGTCAGCAGGGCCATAGACATGGGTATGGTACCAGTGGGATATAGGCGGTGAGTACCGTGCCAGCGGACCTGTGAGGCTAGCAATCAATCAATTGCCATCACAGCCACTCGTAGCAATGCTGTGGCCAATGAGGAAGGGTAGCGCAGGAGGTTGGCTGAGTTGGCACAAAGCCACCACTCATTGCCAGCAGGTCGGAGCTGACAGTGCCACCCAAGTTGCTGGGGGGAGTTCTGGAGGAAAATATTGTACTGAGGTAAAGTCGCGAAAAGTGTTGCGGAAAATATGTACTTTTGAAAATGTTTTGCGGATTTGGGGAATAGGTGTGATCCACAACTTTCTGAGAATTTTGGGAAATAAAGCTGCGGAAAACAGTTTTTTGTTCAAAATGTTGCAGAAGACTGAAATTTTCACAAAGTGTGTGTAAAATTAATATTTCCCCACTTTGACCGCCATAATTTGACACTATTTCTTTGACAAATATTTGGGCTTGAATAATGTGCACTTATTGTTTACAAAACATGGTCTGGAATGGGGTAGTTATTATGTATGTGATATTTGATACTATGATATGGAACTTGAATTCTTACAAATCAGATACAATTTTTGCAGCTTTTATTGAATATCAATTAAAGCGGCACAAAAGGCCATTGTTTTGGACCATTATTTTGTTAAAGATAACCCACTTCCTTGCTGGCTTACGTGAGAGCCGACCCGTAGATAGTTGTAGTTTGTCCTCCTTGCACTCTAGACAAAGTACAGAGGCATGTTACCCATTACCGCCCATCATCCACCCTGGCAACCAGTCGGGCATTTTGGCCCCGATCTGTCAGATCAACATCAAGTATGTGCCTCATTGCATGCCCAGCCGTCAATTGCTAACATATGTCTTATATATAAATCCTGCTTAGGGGACCATTTTTTAGCTGAAACCCCAGTGTGTCTTATACCACATGCAAGACTCAGGCTGGCTGTATTGAGTGACCTCTAGGGTCACGGTGCCAAAGCCACAGTGTGACTGACAATGTTTTATGAAGGCTGCAGCTCTGCAGGGCTACTCTGGCCTGGGTTGCCATTGGCCGGGCAATTTCATCAGCCCTGTTGACAAAATTTTTTGTTGGATCAGTGGGGGGTGTGATGCATGTAGTGCACATGGCAAATCAATTTCACAAATTTATTTGCCAGGCAAGATTATCTTGCCATCTTGCCAGATGTTGTGCCAAGTGGTGAATCATCACGTGATATGATTATATAAACATGATTTTTATGCCATTTATTACAAGAATTCATCTACATCGGAGTCAGAATTATCCCCATCGTGTACCACATTGATCTTTTGGATGGTAGCTTGCGGAACGACACTATCCAGTGCCTTTTTGACCAGTGCAAAATCATAGATTTCGCCTGCCATCAATGACATCACCTTCTTCGCCTTCTTCTTTGCGCTCGCCTTCTTCGCAGCTCCCATGGTCAACACCTCGGGCAGGTCCTCCTCCTCCTCTGAGTCATCACCACCCTCCAGAGGCTCGTCCTCCTCGTCCTCCTCCTGTAATGTCTCCTCGAGCTCGGAAAAAGCAGCATCGACAGCATTCCCCTCGTTATCGTCAATGACATCAGCCTCACACAGCGGCTTCTCCCATCCTTCGACCTCCACAGATTGAGCAAGTGGGGCACTGTTCTCTGTCGTTACACGTGTTGCAGAAGCCTCTGAAGCCAGTGGTTTGGCCCCACTCGCTGTCGTCTTTTTGAAATGGCTCCTCACATGCATGGTACGTGACAATATCCTCCGAGAGTAGCTGAAGTTTCTCATGAGGCCACTTCCACTTTTTCTTTGCAATTTTTAGTGCTGTCTCCTTGATATCGCGGAACGTGAACCCAGGAATGGTGAGTACAGCAAGTTTGCGACACAATGGATGGAGAAATAAGCCCAGGCGATGCACGGGGGTGGCCATCATCCTGAACCGCTTGTCGACAACCATATATGCATGTGCGCGAAAGGTAGGCTCCTCCTGCGGATCGTCTTCGAGAAGTGAGAGCTGACGTGCTGCTGCCAGGAAATGCAGCATGCAATCCGCAATATTCACGCCTCGGCCCTCGCAATGCGCGATCGCATCAACAAATGGCTTTGCGATACGAATTGTTTGTCCGACCATCGGCCAGAACCGGTCGTCCTTGTCTCGAATGATCGCAACGACGTCGGTATTGACAGCGGAGAACCCATTGGTCGCGACACGAGCATCAGGCCGTGAAGTCAGGTTGTTGAGTGGCATACGATGTGCGGAGACGCTGAGCAAGAGCAGAATCAGCGCATACCAGCGTGATTCACAATTCTTTTTCAGACCCCGACTGATGTTTTCCAGGAGCGCGGCTGCCTTCAACTGGCCGCCCCAGTAATGCGACCCATTGAAGAATGTCACAACACGATTTGCCTTTTGGATTTCCGTTTTCGCGGCTGGAAAACGGCAGATCTCGCCGATAAGTGTATTGAGACCGTGGGCCCAACACGCAAGCGTCTGTATACGGTGAGCACAATTCCGGAAACAAATCAAGCAACATGTTACGCACAATTAACCATTTGTATTTAGTCTCAAGCTTCTTTCGAAAAGCCTTCATAACGGTGGGATTGTCGGTCACTGCTGCTAAAAAGCAGCCGGCGTTCTTGATGCCCATCCTCGTCATTGACTTCTCAGCAGCGTCGAATATCTTCTCGGCACTGCCACGACAGCCAGTCAAATCGTGCAATCCCATGACGATGGTGGGTTCCCCAACACGAGCAACAGCAGTGCCATACAGCGATCGGCGTAATCCGTCCTCCCAACCATCAATGAGGAGTGTTCCGCTCCGCTTCCAATCCATCAATTCCTTTACCATTTCGAGGTGCGTGTCGCTATACTCGGCATCGAGAAGGAGAGTTGACATTGTCGTACGAGAAGGGACCTTGTAGGATGGACGAAGCTCATTGGTGAAATCCGCCAGAAAGATATTGTCCGCATTAAGAAATGCAGTATTTGAATGAATAAAGTATCGAAGCAGCTTGCGTCCTGCGGCATTTTCTTGTGTGGCACTCATGGGTGTGTCGACATAGCCAAGTAGGTTGCTGCCTTTTGTGAGTGTGACTTTGGCCTTCTTCGCTGGAGGCTGGTCCGAGTTGCGGACAACATTGACATCAGTCTCCTGATCCTCGTCACCATCGTCCTCGGGACATCCTCGTTTTCGGCTCCCCTTTCCTGTAGTCTTCTGGGCCATGGCCACATATGCTTCGGTGGCTACCTCTGGAGGTGGTGAGCCAGTGCAGAGGCCAGTGGTGAAGTGCTTGAAAGCGCGATTCTCGCGGTGCTCAAGTATTGTTTCGCAGTGGTTGCAGGCATACTCTTTCCGCTTGGAATTGTTGTCTTTCTTGCCCAAAAGGGTGAAGTGGCTTGTGAGGAATGGGTGTACAGCTGGCGGCATCGTTCAGAGGGAGATTCTGGGCATTCACTGGACTAGAAAATATTTATATTGAGTATCTACACTTGGTCAAAGCAACATTGCATTGTTCTGTTTTGCCACCACCTAATCAATGCTTTGTGTATCTTGCCAGGTCTTGCCAGGTGGCAACTTGCCACCTGGCGAAACACGATGGTCTTGCCAGCAACTTTATGCATGACTGATAAATCCAATAAAATAGTACAATGCCATATATGGTACCACTGATTGTGTGACTGATGGGAAATTAGTTTACATATGACTGTCTACAAACACAAGTTTTTAAATGTTTAGCAACATCATGTGTTTGCCGAAATGGGCAATAGATCACATGCACCCACCGTGCCCGCGGTCTGTGACTACTGTCACTCGGCCCCTTCTCCCTCATCATTCATCCAACACCGACTCATTGCTGCCACCACTCTCCTCAATGGGCCCGGCACCTGAGTGGCATAGCCGCTACCCAACCTCCTACTCCAACATGCCGTGATTGTGATTGGACTACATTGCCAGTACCATGTAAGCTGACTCCTCCCTATGTCCACCTGCCCACATGGGAGGTGTTTGTTTAGTGTGGGTGGCCGACCAGCGGCGTGGCAAACACCAGGCTGTCAAAGGCGCGATCTCCATGGGGAAGGGCGGAACACAGTGGGGCAAGGGGCCTGCACAAGAAAAATCCTAGACATCGGGTCGAAAAAGTGAAACAAGCATCAGCAGACCCTCCCTACCCTATTGACTAAGCATGACTAGGCCACATGACTTCCCAAAACGGAAATTATTTGTCATCACAATTTCTACAAATTTTCTTGTAACTATGCCCTATCGGAGAACTAATTTGTGCTCAGCATCTCTAAAAGACCCATATAGCAGAGAAGATAAAGAAGAGGTGATGACATGCTTACATGTCATTCTTTGGCATCACACTGTGATGGGAGATCAGCGCATCATAGCACGAGACCATGTCACGTAGTCACACACATCATCACATCACTTAGCAGTCAGGTAGCAGCCTAGGGCACCACAACACTCATCACCAAACTCTCCCAATTGGGAAATTGGCTATGAAATGTGCTGTATTCATTGGTGCCAACTGCTACAAAGAGATAAAATGCAGTTATGGTCCTTCTGGACATCCCTGGACCTTCCCTAGACATAAGTCCAAAAAGTGAAAATTCCACTCAGGCACCCCCCCTACCCTATGTCACAAGTGTGACTCGATGTCTCGGCTTGCTGATCCGCGGGCCCCTTGCAGTGGGGGAGCCGAAAGAGAGGAAGACCAGGGAGATGGCGGGACGGCGAGCAGAGCAGGCCCGCAACGGGCCCGGAGGTGGTTGTCGGCCAAAGCCTGCGTGTTGCCCGGCCTATAGTCGGCATGCTGCATATGTAGTCATTCAAGAGAATAATAAAATATCTACAATAAATTCCCCAATAAATTCCTCATTAACTTGCCACTTGTATATGCATAGTCCGGCGCATCAATCCCGACCCATGGCGCTGTCACATGCCCGAATTTCCTTTTTGGATGCTGTGCATCTGCATGACGTTGCTAAAATGTTCGCAACTACAAACACACCTTAGCTCTAGGAATTAAAACCTAACACTGTTTTTAAAAGCATGTTTCTCACTGGTTTACAAACCAGATCTACTTATAGCAGCCTAGTGACCTAATATATACCACAATAATTTGCAAGGCAAGAAAGGAGTTTTCACCTTTACCTATACACTTACTGTAGTCAACAGGGTGTCATTACTGACCTATTTTATTCCATTCTACAGATGTTCTGACATGTGACATTAGTGTCGAACTTGGAAATTCATCAAACTGTCTCTATTAGGAAATTTGGGTATCAAAGGTGCCAGAAAACAGCAAAACTTACCATATTTGGATGGATTCTGGGCCAAATTTCAGCATCTTCGTGTGATTGATGAAATTTTTTTATCATATTAGAGGGTGCGACATATGACTGTCAAATTGAATAAAATAGGTCAGTATTTGAAAAAAAAATAACAAGTGCCTAGATAAGATCTCTGGTGATGGAATATTTTGGCATGTCACAACTCATCATCCAAATGCCAAATATCAGGTGGCCCTCAAGACTATCAAAAAATTCATGGCTGCCGAGATATTTGGCAGTCACACCAGTTCACAGGCAGCATTTGGGCACTGATATCACATGGTTTTTCAACACTGAATTGCATAAATTGTTACAGTAGTATACATATCCCATACCCACTGTCTGTTGCATGCTGAAATACTCCAAAATATAATGTAAACATATGTTTAGACCACCAGCCCCCCCTAAAAAAAAAAAAATTATATAGCAAATTTTTTTAACCACCCCCCTTGCTGACTAGGGCCGTGTTTGATTTTTTTTTTGTAAGGGTTGTTTACAGAGGGCGTGTTTCAAACCGGTCTGTATGTTTCAAACATCTTCCTAAGAGCAAGTTAGCTGGCAATGTTATATGAGGTGTTATAGGTCCTCAGAGCAATGATAACAAGGTGCTTTAAGTATGGTCAGCACAGATAGGCGGTTGAGGGTAATCAGGTGGATTTCTCTTGAAATAGCAGCCATCAGCTCATCCCAATGCTGACAGCCACTCGACAACCACTTGTAAGTCATCACTTCTCAACCTGCCTGGTTTGGCCCTACTGAGCCCTGGGCATGCTCTGCTTGCTGTTCTGTTATCTACTCTCGGTCATACTGTACTATTTGACACATTTCAAATAGTGTTTTTGGCATGATATTGCATACAAAATTTTTAATTCATATGATTTCCTTATTAGGAAATTCTTGACACACTGGAAAATCTGCAGAATTACCATTTTTAGGATAGGAAAACCTCAAAACCACTGTGACACGTGGAAAAAAAAATTGTATAATATCATGAGTGTGACATGTGAGTGTGACATGTGACATTTGAAGTAAGTAAATACAGTATGGCCCAGGTGCTACTCCTTGTATTAAGAATCAGCAGACAGTTGATTGAAATGTAGTATACTACAATGTCATAACTTGAGTACCTTCTTGACCCAGGAATTTGATTAAATGGTAGGCCATGCAGAAAAGACCTTGGATTGTATAATATCAGGGAAACTTTTTTTTTGGCAGACCTCCTCCAGGTCTGCCAGAGAGCCTATGTTCCCAGAGGATATGCCTAATTCCAGAGGCCCCCAGACAATTGGGCCTTGGCTGCTGCCAGAGTTACTTCTAGAGGGATTCCAGACATTCATCCAGAGGGTAATCAGGTCAGGTAATCTTCGTTGGGGGCAGTGTAATAGCATAATAAGTTAATAACAAGTAAACCAAGCCTCTACTCTTCTTCCTTGTGCTCGGAAATAGAGAGTTTGCAAGACGCCACCGGGAGCCACCCGGTGGCCGAAATGTGTTGTGATCACCGGTGGCTATATCATGCTGCTAGAATTGGGTGAATTTAGGTCAAATTAATGTGATTTGGCTACAATCTCATACTACTCCACTTTAGCCACTGGAATCATACCATGATTAGATGAAAACATTTGAAACTTGAAACTTTCCAAAATTTCACTTAGAATTTGCATGAATTCACAGACTGACAGCCACCGAAACTACCAGTCATCGCAATGCATTTCGGCCACCGGGTGGTTCCTGGTGGTGTCTCGCAAACTCTCTAATGTTTGATTGCTCCTGTGGGTCAAAGCTCCCTGGCCATGTTATGCATGTCAAGGTTGCTGGAGGAGATGTCAGCAAGGCTGGCCGTGGCCTTCGACCTCAAGGGGGGGGGATTGGGTCAAGATGCTTATCACAGACATGGGATAGGGGGTCCCAAGGAGGGTGAAAAAAACTTTTGCTATATAAAAGTTGGGGGGGGTTTGAAGTTGGCTTTGCACCACATTTGTAGTATTTTAGCATGGAATACAAAGTGGGTATACAGAATGCCTACTACTTTGCTTTCAACACCTTACTTAGGGTGCAGTGCTGACTACAGTGTGACTGATGTTGTAATAGAGTATCATTTTACAATCTTCTACTGATAATCACGAAGGGATCAGCAATTTGAATACTTGGTACCACTGCCCACTCGTATTTATCAAGTGAACACCTTGATTGCTTCCCGCCGGCGCTACCACAGGCTTCAAAATGTCCAAGTCTGTGTTCTGCTTTGCGAGTGAACCTGATCCCTGGCAGTATGCCAGTGCCCCTCCTGCTGCAATGGGGCCTCTCACAGTCTGGCACCATGACACTGACTACTGTGCTCCCTCAGGCGGCTCAGTCCAGCGCGTGGGCCAGCCTGATCGACGGTTGGGACAAGATACCCGGAGAAGTATCGCCGTTTCCGTGAGTGCTACCACCGCGAGCTTTATAATAGAGAACACCTTAACCAAACACCAGCTTTCAACCCGCCACTACGCCTGCGACTGTCGTCTTCGAATACGAGGCGCTTCCTCGATACACCCTGATTACCGCTTACCGTCTTGCAAACTTGGCAGAAACCGACGCTGCTTCCACAGTCTCGACACAAAGCCCGATGAGCAGTGGCCCAGTGCCAGTGTCGACCTCGCAAAATGACAACTTGAGCGTTCATCGGGCACGAATCATTGCTGGTGTTGCAGCCGGTCTGGTTGCTGTGTCTGTCGTCATGGCAATCCTCCTCGTCACGAGGAAGCGGTATCGCCAGCAGAAGGCGATGCGCATGCCGATTCCGCTGAACGGCGATGAGCAGGCGGGCCGACGTTCTCGGACGCGGATTTCTCAGTCCGGGAACTTGAATAGACATGTTCCAATGGGAGCCTCGATGAGGGCAGTTGTTGAATCGCAGGACGCCATGCTGCGCAAGCTGTCAGATGTGCACGGCAAATTCACACGGGCCACACGTCAGCGACAGCGGCAGCAGCGGGAGGCAGCGCGAGAGACGGAGAATAATCACCTTGCACAGCAGATGCAAGCGATGGTTGCACGTGTGGCACTGGTAGAGTCGCAGCTGCGGATGACACTGACGGGTGCGCATGAAGAGCCTGGGCCCGAGGAGGGGCCACCGGAATATTCAGTGGAGTAGACTAGTAGATGATTTTTAGATGTTTTGTTACTCAATCTGACAGGTTCTGACTAGAATGTAGCGTGGTATTATCACACTGGCATTTGAAACCACTCACTTATCCTGCCTCAACGGGGTATCATCTTTAAATTTTCAAGTTTCCGTTCCTTCGCGGATGATGTCGATGAAACAGGCACGCTTGTGACTCGCGATCGGAAGTCCGTGACGCGCCTGTGCAAGGTCGCAGAAGCAACACTCGCTACCGGAAGAAGCTCCAGGACGAACGCATCCGCCTCGTCGACAAAGCACTCGCGCGTGACCCCAACTTTCGTCCCCCCTCCGAATACTAGTACCACCAGCATCAGCGCACCCAGCGCCCATCGGAACGGGTAGTGCTGGCCAAATACGAATATGATACGCCATTTGGTGTATCGTATCATATCCATATCATATCGGGAGCCTGTATCGTGTATCGTATTCATATTCTTGACTTTGAACTGCGTCGGGATGGCTCCTAGATAATGTTGGTAGGTCTACAACCCTCTATAGTTTGTGTTAGGCACTTACAGGATCCAGAAATCCACACCACAACTGCAAATAAAACTTTTTTCCTCCATCAAACCGATACGAATACGATACGCACATCAAAATGGTGTATCGTATTCATATTTTCAACAATATATTGAAAATATATTCTTCGTATCGTATCGGTGGCCAGCACTAGGAACGGGTCTACGTGCCCGTCAGAGAGTTTCCCGAGGTCAACTTCTTTGGGCTTCTCGTCGGACCGCGTGGCGCGAGCTTGAAGAATATGGAGCGGGAGAGCGGCGCCAAGATCAGCATTCGCGGAAAGGGCAGTGTCAAGGACGGGAAAACGCGGCCCGCCGACCGTGCTGACGACGCGGAAGAGGACCTCCACTGTCTAGTTACGGCAGACACGCAGGACAAGGTTGCGGCGTGTGTGAAGCTGATCAACAAGGTCATCGAAACGGTGCGCGTGGTTGCATTGCACGCTTGTTATTGAGCTGATCTCTCTTTAGGCGGCGTCTACGCCCGAAAGCGAGAACGAGCTAAAGCGCAAGCAGCTGCGCGAGTTGGCAGCGATATGCGGGACACTCCGCGACGACGAGAAGCAGATAGTATGCCGGAAGTGTGGCGGGGAGGGTCATCGGCAGTACGACTGTCCGGAATTCACGCGTATGGCCGGCATTGGCGTTGGCGTCGTCTGCCGCGCTTGCGGGGGCGCTGGGCACGTGGTAAGGGATTGCGCGCAGCGAAAGGGGCTTTCTGACATGGCGGGCTTTGACGCAGCGTATGCAGACTTGATGGTCGAGTTGGGACAAGGCGCCGTGCCGGCCCAGGCCGGTGGAGCGAAGATTCCGCCCTGGCGTCGTCCTGAGAACTGGCTGACTTCTACTAACAACTCTCAAGCTAGCGGCTATCGCGCGCAGACGCACTATGGCATCATCCCAGGCGTATACAACCCGGGGTACATGTATGGGTCTAGCGGATATTGGCAACAATAAGGTTACTCCGCCTTTTGAGTATGAAGGCCACAAATAATCGTCTGTGTGGAAGCCTCCACAACTTACTGATGACTGGCTAACTGAACCGCTGACTACATCCCATACTTACTTATCATGAATATACTGACTGATATGGAACATGTGAATTGTGGGTGCTGTTCGCGCTCCTGTGAATTGTGTTCAGTTTGGTCCCAAGGTAAGGTGGACAGAAAGGTCAACTACTGCAAGGCTCGGCTTATGCCAGCACCCAACGGCTAAAACTCAGTGCGCATGCATCTGGTCAGATCGATCATTAAGGTTTCATTGAAACAACAAGTACCTGCGAGGAAAGTAAGCATCCATGCCAGGAAGGGATACGCAACGTACCAAGGGCTCTACTGCACCTTGTTAACCAGCTCTTTGATAATCTCGACTGCGCGCTTGAACTTGGTCTTGTCCTCCTCGGTTGCCTTGACCTCACTAAACCCGCCGCCACAGCCCTGGGGACCTCCGTTATACCATTCGAGGTCGTCGCTCCCCCAGAAGATGCTCGTGTCGAGCCCGTAGATGTCCTCGCTCCCCGGCGGGCTTTCGGTCGGGATGCTCCTCAGGATCGAATGGAGCTCGTCGACAAGGGTTCCCGAGGCATCATCGAGGGCCAGCGACTTTGGCGCGGCTTCCTGGAGTTCCGGCGTCCCGTCTGGGCGTACTGCCGCCGTTATCGCGAGCGACGCGATACCGTCGGATCGGGCGATGGTGTAAACGGAGTCCGGCGTGGGCGGGGCAAAGCCGCCGGCGATGCCTGTCCATGTTAGACACTAATGGGGCACGAGCGAGCAGTAGCGCACCGTGCTGCAGGCGGACGTAGTAATCGGCGGGGGGCATGGGTGGTGGTCAAGAGCAAGCTGTGTGCTCGGCTGCGCCACATCACCGCGCCAGCCCGATCGGGACTGATGTCCGGCCCGAAGACCGCGTGACGTCATATCGACGTCGTATCGGGCTCCAGTGCATAAAAAGCGGCTGCGGCGTGGCTGCGGTGCTCCAAATTTTCGCTGGTTGCATGTCGCCCTCCACCATGTCTGCCACAGTCCCCACCTACCCGCCCGCCACACATGCCCCCGCAAAGGAGATCATCCGGGCACAGCCGCTAAGGACAGCGACGATGTCGACTTCGACTGCGCGGGAGAAGATGAATGACGGTCGGTTGGAGAAGATGCAGCGAATGCGGGGTGGATGCATCCCGTGTCCTGGTACGTGCCCGTCTTCTATGCACTCAAAGCTAACTCACCTTGCAGACGGCGGCTGCTGTTTCATCATCCCACTACCCTGTTGTTGTTAAGCGCAGCGCGACTCTGGACTTATAAAGTTATGATCTGTCACGTTCACACACGAAGTAGAGATTCGGAATTCGCACACTCGGACCCTTGCACTGACAATTTGTCCTCACACACACACTTCTGTACCACTTATATCATTGTACATGTATGGATATATCATATAATTACAACCGATCCTCCTTATCCTTCTGATTCCTTCAGCCCTGTCCCTCTTGTAGGGGCAAATCACGTTTTTGGCACCGATCCAAAACACGGTGTTCTTGACTGTTGAGCGGTGTTTTACTGATAGAAGGATCAAATCAAAAAGAGGCACAAAATGAGATGCACAACTGCTTTGCATACATATCCACACTCTGTGTTGAACAGAACATCCCGAGGGGCGTCTATGAACCTGAAACATCACGAGAGGATGGTGGCTTATCAAAACCACCAAAAGCAGCCATATTCGTCCCTTTTTATCAGCAAATTTTATGCTAGATGTGGGAAGAACCCGCTCCAATCGACATCAACCAGGAGCCCCGGCGGCTGTGCGCGGAGGGTCGTGAGAGGGAGGACGATGAGCGCAATGCGGGCCAGCACATAGACAACTCCGCCGATCAGGAGGAACCAGTGTCCCATGTTCGACAGCCCGAGGGCGAATATGGCGATCCCGAGGAGGGGGATGGCCGCAACAAGGGCCGCTGCCGCGCGCCAGAGCCACATCTCCGCGATACTCGGGAAGAAGGAGTTCCACGCAAGGCAGTAGATGGCGCCAAAGACCGCGCCACCGAGTAGTTCCGCAAAGAAGGTCACGTCGAGCCCGCCGATGTGGGCCGCGTCGACCGCGGAGGCGTAGTACGTCGTCGGGACGGCGCGGGCCATGCGCGGATCAAACTCGAGTCGCGTGTGCGCCTGCCCGCCGACGACGTTGAAGACTGTGAACAACCAGAAGTTGTGCCGCGTGATCCGAGCTAGAGGTGCAGCTGCGACGGGGTAAGGCTTCCCGACGATGATCGGCGCACCGACGTCGAGGGGCTTGCGCCACCAGAGCGCCCAGATGAAGCTGCTAATCACTGCAAATGCGAGCGTGGCGATTTCGAGCTCGGCAAGGGGCAGGTGTTGGATCGCACGTGCGATGCCCTGCGCGATGAACCAGAGGCCCTGAAGGAGCGCGGCGCCCTTGGAGAACACGTCCCCGTTGCTTTTGTCCTGGATGTCCTCCTCTGGCACTGCGCGGATGGCATCGAGCACACCCTCGTCGCTGATCTGGGCCCGCGTGACGATTGGGTGCCCATCGGGTGTGACGAACCCGCCCATGCCGATGAAAAAGCCGTGAGTGAGCGATACGTCGAACTCCTTCGCCAGGCTGCGTGCGACGGCAAGCTGCCGGCCCGCGAGCCCCGCGATCAGCTCTGGGGCGAGCAGCGCAATTAACATCAGCTTGAAGCGGTGCCAGAGCGGTAAAGCGTTCTGTTGGGCTTTCCTCCAGAAACTTGTTCGTAGGCCCAGGGAGTGTTGCAGTGCGCGCGGTGGGACGTTGGGGTGGACGCAGAGCCACACGCAGGCGAAGATGGTTGCCAGGCAGCTCCAGATGACGCTGCTGAGTGTGCGGCAGCTGTGTATGTCGTCGCAGTTTGACGAAGTCGAGGTCGCGTTCATGTCGCGGGCATGAGCCGGGATCAGTACATGGGGGAGAGAAAGCAAAGAGATTAAGCGACGTCACGACGGTGACAGATGCCTATCACGTTTGTTGACGTGACGAGTGTGACACCCTTCTTCTTCCGTTGACGCCCACCGCCACCCATGCTCATGCCGTCCACCACTGTTCTGCATGCTGGCGCGGCCATCCCGTCAAGCATCGCATGCTCATGGCTCGCGAGGGGGTAAGTTTGAAGCTTAGGAGCCACCGTTGACGTGGGCGTTGTTCAGGCGCATGTTTACGCCGAGGCCAATGCCAGTGCTCTTCCCCCCCTTCTGTCAGCTCACAAGCCCTACTAGGATACATGCGCATCACTCCCGTCCGCACGAAAGTCTTCCGTCTCACCGAACATTAAATCCAGTGTCACATTTGGTCTGCTTATACCTTTCGTCGTGTGAGAGCATCCCTGGAGTTGACTGCTGTCGCCCCTCAGTCTTCGACAATCGAGTTATCATACGAACAGATTCCCGATATGACATCAGACATGATGTTGGCGGCTGGCGCTGTTTCCGACCTGTTTAAATTTCCGACGGTCCGCAGCAACGTCCGCAGCAACGTCGATCCTCCATCTACTATCCATCAGCTTCGCGTGCTTCGTCATGCGATCTCGCGCCGAACGCGGCGTCGCGTGCCCGACAGAGCCTTCTCCCCTCTGCTATTGCGGCGGCTTTTGCTGCCGCACATCTGCGATTGTCGACCTGTTGTCGACGATATCTTATTCGGCCCGAGATCCACGCCCTTGGCGTTAACCGCGCTCACCTACTTGGTCGCCGGACTCGCCATGGTTGCTCTGCAAATCCGGATCATTGCAACGGTCTCGTGATGGTCCGTATTGGCTGTAGACGCGTCTCCATTTTCGGAGACTGTTGCAACAAATCGAAAGCGGCGCGTCGAAGATTCGCCGCCACACATGCTCTCTACCGGCCGCCGACGCACCCGTCTGTCACGCCGCCCTCGATTATCGAATCTCCCACGCCCGTTTTTCCGAAAAAATTGCGTCTTGGTTCCGCGCATAACCGCGACGATCAGATGCGGACGTCGTTGGCCGTTGGAGCGCAACCGCGCTGCCGGGTGGGGCCAAGCCATATAAAACGATCACCCCTGGCCGAATCGCCCGACAGTCTTCACTAGCTCAAATGTTTTCGTCCACCAGCAATCGGTCACTCGGCGCGTCCTCGCGGAGCGTAAAGGCGTGTCTCTCCTGCCGCCAGCGAAAAGTCAAGGTCCGCACCCTCTTTCCGCCGCCCTCCGTAAAACATAACCAGAAAAGCAAACAGTGCAAACCGGATGACACTGCCCCGCTTACCCCGTGCGCCCAGTGCCGGCGGAACAGCCTTCCATGCGAGTACGCCGACCCGAACTTCAGCCCGCTCTTCCGCCCGATGAACCCCGCCGCCACGGGTAGTGCGCCGGGCTCGGGCAGGCGGCCCGGTATCCCCGTGGGCCGCGGGGGTGCCGCGACGCGGTCGTCCTCTGCCCCCGTCGTCTCTTCGCAGTCCAGATCAACTCCGCCCATGCACCACCCACCGCCCGACGCCCTCCCCGCGATGCACATGCCATCCGCGCCCGAGCGGTCGTCTGTACAGAGTTGGCCAGGGACGGTATGCGGGCCGTATGCGGAGCCCGCGCCTCGGTACAACACGCTTGCCGAAGGAGAGCCCTGTACCTCCGAGTTCGACTGGTATGACCCCGCACTGCACCCCGCCGGTCCGGGAGAGGCGCTCCCAGAGTTGGAAGACAACACCCAATGGGGAGCCCGCGAGCTGTGGGCCTCATCTGGTGCGTTATTGTGTGGTCTACCAGTGAGCCATCGTGCCTGATTTCCTTGCAGAGGCCGAGTTCGCGTATGATGCGTATTATCCGCCGAATGCGGGCGATTCCGGAGCAGGGCCCAGTTCGGGGCGTGGATAGTGATTGCCGTGTCCTCATACTGGGTCATAGAAAAAGAAGAAGTAATAAGCAGAATTTGGATCAATAGCAACAACATGGACTTTGTAGTGTGAATCATCTGTAATTATTAGCTATCACAATTAATGAAATCTTCACCAAAAAACACTTGACTTGGTTTCAGTGCTAAGTCCTAGGTAACAACTTCCCTATTAATAAAACAATCATCTGAATCCATAGAAAACTGGTAGAGCTCTATATGGCTGGATCAATATGTCTGATAAATTATTATTCAATATTGATTATATCATTTAAGTATTCTTGGTAGTACTTACTTCAATCAGCTCTTTAACTTACTTAGTTGTTAAGATATCATATTCTAAGTTAGAGACACTGCGGGGTTTTCGCCAAAAAACAGCCCCCAAAGGAGAAGGGCTTATTTGTAACAAATGCAGGTACAAAACAATGGAGCTGATTTTCACACAAATCAAGGGCCCTGATTTGACCGCATGTGACCGGGAATTATCTTATTTGGTAATTTGCCCGTCACATCAGGGGCCTGGATTTGAGTCCAATCGGGCAACCATCTAAGATCTTTGGCAGCAACTTTCTCACAAATAAATCCTGCGTTGAAAATATTGCCAGACTTGTGTGACTGATGGAAGAATCTCGCTGGGCGGGGCCCTGTGTGACGTGTGACCGACGAATTGTTTAAAATAGTACAGTATGGTTTTGAAACAGGTGTGAGTGAGGTGACCAGAGTCACAATTTTGTTGATCACATATAACTACAGATGTCCTACTAAGGGCTGAAGTGCCATATATTACTCAAAAGTAATTAAGTAAAAGGATTCTCATGAATGTAACTGAATGTATTCATTTTATGCCACTTTTGATTGCATTATCCAGAAATAGATTACCTGATGTGGTATGGTGCAATTCTAGTTATAACCACAAAGTGACAAGCAATATTGGTCCTCTAGTTTTTATTCAAATTCTTAGTTACTTAGTAAAAAAAAAAGCTATTAGGATTCCAAAGAGAGACTGGCTAGAGCAACTAATAAAATACTCAAAACTGAGGGAGAAATAAATTTGGCATTCACATGATACGCCGTTGCTTATGTAACCATGTGATAAAGCCTTAGAAAAATCAGGAAAAATCGAGAAAAAATTCTACTCATTATTCTACATCTGGAGTACCTATTATACTAACTTTTATACATCCATAGCGGCAGCCAGGAATGTGCTGATATGATTTGTACTTACGGCTTAAGAATTTCTTCATATTTTTCTGTACATCCTTGGCACCAAGACCCTCGGTACATACATCGATGAATCTCTATATGCGATGCTCCCATTTTCAATTTCATGGAGATAGACACCATCACAATTGGGAGATTCTTCTTGGGTGTTGGAAAAGTATAATCACAGTGCTCACAAAGATATCGCTGGATGACACCCCAAAAGTAGCTCCTCCAGCTCTCAAGCTGATTAACTTATTAATCCAGTCTGAATCATATTCCATCTTCGGCTCTCCACCCTTATCACCCTTCTCTGATTCAAGCTCAACCTCAGACTCCAATTCATCAATGGTGGCATCAATGTCAACAGCTATGGGCTGCGTGTGTGTCAGGGGAACCTCCCTTTCGGCCCCTCGGAGACGCCTCCGATTCCGGTCCGACTCCGGTTCCGACTCCGGTCCGGCCCTCCATCTCGCCCGCACAATCACCGATCCGTCAACGCCCTCCCGACGGTCGCCCTGGGACCTCGCCTGCGACGCCGCCCCAGCCTTCTGTGCCCGACAGCGGCAGCTACGGACAAGCAGTATATAGTCAGCTACCTAGCAGGCGGACCCTTAGAGTTTCTTCTCTTTGGATCCTCCCCTGCTAGGTCAGCTTCATTTGTATTCGCTTACCAATGTTCACGCCTTTGGATCCTCCCCTGCTAGGACCTTGACCTCAGGCCTCCGGGGTTGCCCTTACAGCAGAAGAAACTCTCTACGGGATCAACCGGACAAGATTGCCAGGTTCGGCGCTGACTCAGGCTCGGAGTACGAGTCCGTTCCGCCCTCATCACCGCCCCTGCCACTTGTCCCCTCCTCCTCTACTCCTGTGGTCCCCGCACCCGTCATGCCGTCCGGAGTCACTCCTACCGCAGACGCCCGGCTGGACTCACTCGAGGCGAAAATCGATAGCCTAACTGAGGCCCTTGCTTTACTCACCAACCAGGCTTCCGCTGCCGCTGCCGCCGCTAATAATGCTGGCGGACCCCAAACACCATCGCCGGAGACGTCGATTCCGACTCCGACTCCGGTCCAGGGCGACTCCGAAGCCCTTTTTGGCGACTTCAACGGCGACCGGAAACGCGGCCGCGCGTTCCTCTACGCGGTCCGCACCTACGCCCGCCTTGCCCCTGAGGCCTTCGTGGTCAACGGAGAGGCGAGCGAGGAAAAGGCTGTCCGCTATGCCATGTCGTTTATGGCAGAAGGACCCGCTCAGCAATGGGCGGAGCGCCACGGAAGCAAAGCCCCGTTTCCGTTTCCGTCCTGGGGCTCGTTCGTTTCCGAGTTTCGACTCCGGTTCGTCGAGGAGAATGAGCAAGATCACGCTCTCTCCAAGCTGGAGACTTCCGCCTATCACATGGGTACAAAGGATGTCTACCAGTACACCGACGACTTCGAGGACCTGATGGACCTCGCCGGATTCGAAGACGCTGGGTCAAGGTGACCAAGTTCCGCCACGGACTTGACCCCCTGATCAATAACGGAATCACGTCCTCGAACGACCCCCGGACCTCCGGGATTACCTTAGCTGGCGCACCCGGGCCTTCCGTCAATACAAGGCCCTGGTCCGGGCCAAGCTGATCAAGTCAGCCGCCCCCAAGACGCCTGGCGGTTTGATTCGGACTCCGTTTCCGGTCAACCGCATCCCGGCTCCGGCCCCTTTCCGCCCGGTGGCTCCGGTCGTGCCACCCGCGGCCCGCGCCCCCCTCCGGCGCCTCCAGCTCCCGTCCCTATGGAGTTGGATCGCACCAGGGCTCGGGGTGCCCCTCGTCGCGCCTGCTTCAGGTGCGGC